AGCAGTCAGCCTTGCTTGGATAATGACCGAAAAATTACCCCAAGCCAATGTGCAGCCGAATGGCTATTTAAAAATAAACATAGGGGTCTCCAGTTGGAAGAAAGAGGCCTCCACGACGATTGGTCGGGAGGGCAGACTTTTAAAGGGATTGGAGAATAAGGGTTTGAACGGGAAAAGAGAAAGGATTCCGTGAAAGGGAACGGGCAGGGATTGGCTAGAGGTGTAAAAAACAAGGTTTAAAAGGTTCGAGAAAGGGGGCTGAGGGAGATATAAGGCGAGAGCACGAGGAGTGGGGGACTCTCGGAGGAAGATACAAGCGGGAAAATAAGAACGAACAAAGCCTATGATTCCTCGTTGTGGAAGTCTTTAGTATCGGGTTCCTTATCGTGGAAATCTTTAAATAAAAGTGGCTCTTCTTATTTTTTCGTCGTCGGAGTTGTTCACACTAGTACCAATAATAGAGGTTTAGCTACTACTCCATATGTACTACATATGTAGTAGCTACTACTACTTACTACAGCTACTACTACATATGTAGTAGTAGCTGTAGTAATAGCTACTACTACATATGTAGTAGTAGCTACTACATATGTAGTAGCAGCTACTACTTCCAGCTACTACTACATATGTACTACATATGTAGTAGTAGCTACTACTACAGCTACTACTACATATGTACTACATATGTAGTAGCAGCTACTACTACCAGCTACTACTACATATGTACTACATAGTAGTAGTAGCTATTACATATGTAGTAGTAGCTACTACTACAGCTACTACTACATATGTACTACATATGTAGTAGTAGCTACTACGACAGCTACTACTACATATGTACTACATATGTACATATGTACTACATATGTACATATGTACTACATATGTAGTAGCAGCTACTACTACTAGCTACTACTACATATGTAGTAGCAGCTACTACTACTAGCTACTACATATGTAGCTACTTTTGCTACTAGGAGAATCCGCCACTGTTGCTCCCCACACACATCTATTGCAAAACAATGAATACTTAAGCCCCAGCAGTCTGTGCAGGCTACCCGGGAGGTGTGGGTGAGGAATCTTCCTCCACATTTTGTGTTTGTCGTCTTCCATGGCGGGGGGGAGGGGCGAGGGCTCTGGGCGTGGCGCGGTGACGCTGGGAGGCCGTCGCCATGGAGACGGAGCCGGGGCCGTTTGTGTATCGTCACCACCACCAACAACAACAACAACCACCACCAGCAGCAGCATCACCACCAACAACAACCACCACCACCAGCAGCAGCATCACCAGCAGCATCACCACCACCAGCAACATCACCACCAGCATCTCCACCATCACCACCAACCACCAGCATCACCACCACCAACATCCACCACCACCAGCAGCAGCATCACCACCACCAGCAACATCACCACCAGCATCACCACTACCAACAACCACCACCACCAGCAGCATCACCACCACCAGCATCACCACCACCAGCGTCACCACCACCAACAACCACCAACCACCACCACCAGCATCACCACCACCAACAACCACCACCACCAACCACCAGCATCACCACCACCAACAACCACCACCAACAGCATCACCACCACCAGCATCACCACCACCAACAACCACCACCACCACCACCAACCACCAGCATCACCACCAACAACCACCACCACCAGCAGCATCACCACCAGCATCACCAACACCAACAACAACCACCACCACCATTACCACCAGCAGCATCACCACCACCAACCACCACCAGCATCACCACCACCAACCACCACCACTGCCACCAACCATCACCACCACCATAATTAATCACTATCGCCACCACCAACCACCATCATAACTTATCACCATCACCCATCAACATCACCACCATTACCGTGGCGATGATGACGATGAAGTAACGAGCGGGAAGAAGGAGCACAAGGAAGGGGGGCCTGGTTGAGTCGTGTGGTGGACAAACATTGCCACAACAACAAACCATTCAAACAACAACAGCAGCGGCGGCGGCAGCAGCAGCAACGGTAACGGACAGCGGCCGAGTTCGTTTGTGTTGTTTTGTGTTACCCGAAGCGTGTCCTGGGCCTCAACCTAGGTCGGCTCAGCCTCAAATGAGTACCTGGTGCTGGCGTGTAGTAAAACATCGCCAGTGGGGGAGACAAAGGCGGCCGGGCGTGGTTGCTGGCCACCCCCTACCCCGTCCCTTCGTGCGCTGCGCCGGCCTTCATTGTGGTGCTACTCGCTAACGGCACTTGCCCCGACAGTCCGTTACAGGCTACACGGGGGTCTTTGTTGTTGTTGTTTGTGGTGTTGTTGTTGGAGCGGTGGCGCAGTGGTTAGCGCGCGCTGTGCTGCAGGCGAACCGGGCCGAGTGCTCAGATTCCCCAGACAATGTTCCGAACCGCGGTCCTGATCTTCATAACAAGGCCGTAATTTTGATTTAAAGCTTTCGTCACTGCAGGGATTCATATTCTTGGTTCTTTCGGTAAAGTCACCACGTAGAAGGGAAACAATAAAATAATAAAAAAATATAAAACAATAAAATTATCACGACGTTTCGACTGCAACACAAGCAATCATCATCAGGTGTGAAAACCACAGCAAGAAAATTTGAAAAAAGTGGCGGTTTTTTTAACATTAGCACCACGGAGAGCGATTTGGCAGTTATTCAGATGGACGAGTCCATCTGTGTTCGGAAAAGAGGAGGGGGGAGACGAAAATAATGGATGTGGTCTGTAAGCCACCTTAAGCGTGATCAATCAATTAAGACCCAAAATGGTTTATCAAATCCTTCCAATGATTGCTAAGCCAGAATCCATCTTCTCGGTTGAAATTCTCTCTGTGTTTGTATATGTGGATAGCCTCATGAACGAATCTCTCGTGGTAGCCAGATGGCTTGCAAAGAACCTCTGTCTTGGAGAAGTCAATGTCATGTGAACCTACTGAATTATAACAGTGATCTGCCACGGCCGAGGTGTTGGTCCTACCGTGTTTCAGGTCTGCTTTGTGTTCACGAATGCGGTCCGAGACATGTCGTTTGGTTTCTCCAATGTAACTACTACCACAGAGGCAACTTAGTTTGTAGACGCCAAGGTACTGTATGTCCGGAATCACATCTTTTACAGACGGAAGCAGATCACGGATTTTACGTAATGTGTTGAATGGGACCTGGATCTTGTGTTTATTCAAGATTTTTGTGATCCCCGCAATGTAGGATAAAGTGATGGTTTTGAAAGGCTCCTCAAGAGGGTGCTTCTTCATGGTTGGAGTGATAGCTTTGCGGATTGTGTAGTCGGAATAACCATTAGCCTTAAGAGCTTGGTGTATGTGCTTGAGTTCACTGGCTATATGTTCCTGGTCGGATATGCATTGGGCTCTATGGTGCAGAGTCTTGATGAGGGAATTCTTCTGGGATGGATGGTGTTTCCCTTTTTACGTGACTTTACAGAAAGAACCAAGAATATAAGGCCGTAATTATATTATTTATTGGGACACACCCCCCCCCCCCCCTAATAAATATTAAAATATGCTCAAAATGTCCCCCCCCCAATATATTGCTATAAAATAGATTCCTGTTTATATGATTGTGGTTATGGTTGTACTTTATTAATCCCTAATCTCTGCCATTACATACAATGAAACAAGATAAGGTAAAAAAATATTTAAAAAACAGAGCAATGTAATACAATAACATTATTGTAAAAAATAAAGAAAAAGTCCATCCTATGTGTTAGTGAAGTTTTTAATATTTTACCCAGGAAATTCGTTTTCAAATTTAGATTTTTTTTCTGGGGGGGGGGGACCCCCAGACCCCCTGGAAGATTTGGTCCCCCCCAATGTTGACTCCATGGCTACGGCCTTGCTTCACAAGGTGCTCGCTAACAGCACTTGCCCCTCCCCGCCGCCATCTAGGTAGACTCGGACAGAAATGAGTCCCTGAGTGCGCTGTGTAAATTAAAAAAAGGTAATGGGCAGTGTTTGTTGTCCACCTCGTGTGCTGTTGCCGGCCTTCGTAGGTTGCCACTCGCTCATAGCGCTTTGCCCCAACAACAACAGCCTTATTCTTAGTTTTTTCGGTAAAGGCACGTTGAAGAGAAACAACAAAATAACAAAATATATATTATTTTGTTGTTATATTATTTTGTTGTTTCTCTTCAACGTGACTTTACCGAAAAAACTAAGAATATGAATTACTGCAGTCACGAAAGCTTTAAATCAAAACAACAGCCTTGTCAAAAAGCTGTGGGTGGCCCGGCTTTCATCCAGCAGCGGATAGTCAATGATTGATTATACAGTACCGCAGTACTACAGTACAGTACTGGCTTTATATTAATAACATTGCTGATGGTGATGACCTATGAATAAGGCCAGAACGGCACACGAGGGAGTGTGTGGCCAGCACCACGCCCGGCCGCCTTTGTCTCCCCAGTGACGATTTTACACGCACCTTGGGTACGGTACTCATTTGAGGCTGAGTCGACCTAGGGGAGGCAGGCCCAGGATCGGGATCGGTTCAGATAATCGCCGCTGGTGTTGGCCGTAAGCGGGAATTGAACTTGGGTTCGTAGTGCAAGCGCCGCTAATTGCTTAGCTTACGCTACCGCTGCTCCACCCAATGTGTATTACCTGCTGTGACATACTGATCGTAGAGATACGTTGACATTGACAAAGAAGATTGGAACAAAAACTGAGAACTGCACAGAAGTTTACTGGGTATTAACCCTGGGAGACAGAGATGTTAACTACCTCGCCTGGTATACAGGAGGTCGTGGGTTCTATCCCGACCCTGACGCCTGCTGTATATTTGGAGTGAGCGTGTTTCTTTCCCCATAGTCGAGTGGAATTTTTTCCGGGTCCTCTGATTTTTTTCCTCCACATTTAGAAACACGCGTTAGAGTATTTGCCCGCTATCACCGTCAAATATAATAAGCCACTTCGGTTGAGCTATCATTTGTGGCCAGGTCACTTCTGAAGAAGATCTACAGTATATAGCAGCTCAGTGGGGCCTTAGCTGGTACATTTAAAAAAATAGTTTAGTTCAATATATGCAAGCTAGAGACGTCAGACTGTTGCGTGACGTTTCGCACCATCCATTTAGCGCGGTTGGCTACGTACGGTCCAATCGAAGTTCAACATACATTGTTTATTGGCGCTGGAAGCAACCGTGGCCAGTGGTTGAGACTAACGATGCAGTGGCAGCCAAAGGAAGGAACGCGCCTGCAAGGATGTCTGCCGCCGAGTCTGAACCTAGATGTTAGCTCGTGTGCAGGGCCTAGACGGATTGTTGCATCTCAGGACCAGGGGTCTGAAACCAAAATAACAATAAGAGCCGTTTGTGTTAAAATTCGGTAGTAAGTAAAAAAAAAAAATCAAGAGCCGCAATGTGTGTAAATTACGAGACGGTCTTTAATTCATAACGTCATGAAGCAGTAGTTAACGAGCCGCATACAGCTCTAGAGCCGCATGTTCCCGACCCCTGATCTAGGCCCAAAAGGCAGTAAGCCCATACCCGTGGTCAAGTCAGTGGGTATATTCCATACCGAGGGCTAATGAACTTTGTACGTACGCAGCACTGCATTGCTCTCACACACAAACGAATGACGTTTTTGTGTTTTATATTTTTCAGAGAGGGGCTTCAGATGACGCACCTTCCGACGTCCACGGAGTCCTCTGTAAGGGATCTTCGCTGTGTGGCACACAAGACATACGTACACAAATGCCCATTAATACATTTCCATACATACAGATGCACAACAACAACAGGAGCGACCATTTTCCACTAGTTGACTGGGACATCCCCACAGCGCCTGTATTTTAAGTCCATGGGAAGTTTTGGAAGGCTTACTGGCAGAAGGTCCCGGGAAAAACCCAGGCCTTGTGAGGTAACTAACTTAGATGACTGGCAGGTGCACTATCACCTGTGCTCATCACTGTGCCAACTTGCTGTGTTTTAGCCACCCGGTGCTCTGCCCATTGTGAGTAATGCTTCTCCTTTTGTTGTTGGTGGGCGACTGCCTCCAAAATATTTCACGAGGCTCCTCCACAGAGGCGGATCTTGACACCACTGGTAGGTAGCAGTCTTCTGCAAGTCCAATCAGCTCCGAATCCTTGCAGTCAGCCCATTCCCTCTCCCACTCAGCCTGTGCACCACTGCGGGAACGAGAGGAAGACCTTAACAGAGAATGGCTTGACGACGACATCGTAAGAGATCGGTGCCAGAAAGATGTGGCCACTACTTGAGCATATTGGCACAAGACATAGGAAAGTGGAAACAAATGAAGAAATGTGGCAGTGGATTCTTGATGATGACGATGATGTACATTACAGTGAGGGAAAAAAGTATTTGATCCCCTGCTGATTTTGTACGTTTGCCCACTGACAAAGAAATGATCAGTCTATAATTTTAATGGTAGGTTTATTTGAACAGTGAGAGACAGAATAATAACGAAAAAATCCGGAAAAACGCATGTCAAAAATGTTATAAATTGATTTGCATTTTAATGAGGGAAATAAGTATTTGACCCCTCTGCAAAACATGACTTAGTACTTGGTGGCAAAACCCTTGTTGGCAATCACAGAGGTCAGACGTTTCTTGTAGTTGGCCACCAGGTTTGCACACATCTCAGGAGGGATTTTGTCCCACTCCTGTTTGCAGATCTTCTCCAAGTCATTAAGGTTTCGAGGCTGACGTTTGGCAACTCGAACCTTCAGCTCCCTCCACAGATTTTCTATGGGATTAAGGTCTGGAGACTGGCTAGGCCACTCCAGGACCTTAATTTGCTTCTTGAGCCACTCCTTTGTTGCCTTGGCCGTGTGTTTTGGGTCATTGTCATACTGGAATACCCATCCACGACCCATTTTCATGCCCTGGCTGAGGGAAGGAGGTTCTCACCAAGATTTGACGGTAGATGGCCCCGTCCATCGTCCCTTTGATGCGGTGAAGTTGTCCTGTCCCCTCAGCAGAAAAACACCCCCAAAGCATAATGTTTCCACCTCCATGTTTTGACGGTGGGGATGGTGTTCTTGGGGTCATAGGCAGCATTCCTCCTCCTCCAAACACGGCGAGTTGAGTTGATGCCAAAGAGCTCCATTTTGGTCTCATCTGACCACAACACTTTCACCCAATTGTCCTCTGAATCATTCAGATGTTCATTGGCAGACTTCAGACGGGCATGTATATGTGCTTTCTTGAGCAGGGGGACCTTGCGGGCGCTGCATGATTTCAGTCCTTCACAGCGTAGTGTGTTACCAATTGTTTTTTAGTGACTATGGTCCCAGCTGCCTTGATCATTGACAAGATCCTCCCGTGTAGTTCTGGGCGGATTCCTCACCGTTTTCATGATCATTGCAACTCCACGAGGTGAGATCTTGCATGGAGCCCCAGGCCGAGGGAGATTGACAGTTCTTTGTGTTTCTTCCATTTGCGAATAATCGCACCAACTGTTGTCACTTTCTCACCAAGCAGCTTGGCAATGGTCTTGTAGCCCATTCCAGCCTTGTGTAGGTCTACAATCTTGTCCCTGACATCCTTGGACAGCTCTTTGGTCTTGGCCATGGTGGAGAGTTTGGAATTTGATTGATTGCTTCTGTGGACAGGTGTCTTTTATACAGGTCACAAGCTGAGATTAGGAGCACTCTCTTTAAGAGTGTGCTCCTAATCTCAGCTCGTTACCTGTATAAAAGACACCTGGGAGCCAGAAATCTTTCTGATTGAGAGGGGGTCAAATGCTTATTTCCCTCATTGAAATGCAAATCAATTTATAACATTTTTGACATGCGTTTTTCTGGATTTTGTTGTTGTTATTCTGTCTCTCACTGTTCAAATAAACCTACCATTAAAATTATAGGCTGATCATTTCTTTGTCAGTGGGCAAATGTACAAAATCAGCAGGGGAGCAAATACTTTTTTTTCCCCCACTGTATGTGCTGCCGTGGCGTAATGGCGAGCACACTGGATTTGCGATGCAGACGTCGTCGGTTCGATTCCATCTCCCGGTGTGGCAGTCGAAAGAGAGGGTTAGGTTTCCGTTAAACCCCAACCGCCTCGGTTCACCCAGCAGTATAAATAGGGACATCGCCGATAATCGATTGGCAAGTGGTGCGTGGTGGGGTAAAGTGTGGCTACTCGTACTTGTTTCATGCCGTCTGGCCAGTGTGGAAGGGTAGGCAGAAAATACTCTCTTGTGGCGCTCACCCTCTAGTGGAGGTCAGAGGGAAATTGCAGGACTGCTGCTTTATCTGTGCGCATGATATACAGGCTGTTTAAAAAAGATGGACCCGATTTGAAATCGCTATATCTCTGCAACCACGAACCGCCTATGAAACTCTTACCACTTGAAAGGGCGGGACATAGAGTTTCAAATGATTACCGCTAGATGCCTCTCCCAGCGCACAAACAGCCCTTAGCCTCAGTCATTCGCAAGAAGGTGGCCCCGCAAACACAAGGGGCGTTTTGCGTTCTGCAGCTCAGCAAGACTGGTGCAGCGTGCGTTTCAACGGCGTTTTGGCATTGATCCGCCAATGTCAAAGAGCGTTCGTCGTTGGTACCGACAATTTGAGGAAGCAGGCTGTTTATGTAAGGGGAAGAGCACAGGGCGACCACGCACCTCAGAGGGAAACGTGAGAAGAGAGGCGTTTGGGACGAATTCAACTATCGTCTCGATGTTGTCCGTACAGCAGGTGGAGGGCACGTAGAGCATTTATAAAATGGTTAGTAAAACTTGATAACTCATTAAACCGTTTGTAACTTTTTGTGTAATTGTACCCAGTAGAACCAAAGAGTATGGATCCTAGCAGTCACGAAAGCTTTAAATCTAGAATTAATTGTAACATGTTGCCATCGTGAAATGTACTGCTTTGAAAGTGGGTCCATCTTGTATAGTGGTGTGTACGTTTTTGCTCGGAAACAAAATGTGTAACCGAGATTTTATTTTTTTACAAAAAAACACTAGAAATAATACCAAGGGGACGGTAAAGATGATGACAACAAAACCAATTCTCGAATCAATTCCCGGCCGTGGATCATGACCATGCTAGAGTCGGGGCGGCTAAATCGTTACGTGCCTTTATCAGAGAGCGAGAGAGACACGCGTGGTTGAGTGGGTGGAGCACAAAGGGGGGAGAGACAGGACTGAGAGTGTGAGAGTGCGAGAGTAACGGAGAGCCATAGAAAAAGTCCAGCAGGGCACACGACCCAGCCTGGTGTGTTTTTAGTTAACGGGGAAGAGAGACAGGCAGCTGCAGGGGCAGGTGCAGTCAGAGAAGTCCAACACCATCTCTGCGTCTCTTGGGTTTTCGTGCATCCCATCGGTGGGCTTCGGGCAGATCTCGGGACAGGCGGCGTCTTTGCAGAGCCGGCTGACTGCCATGTGTTTTCACTCCCCGGGGAGTGCCACTTCTAGAAAAGAGAAAAAAAAACCTACGAATGAGGAAGGGAGGGCGAGGGAGGGAGAGCGATAAGGGAAGGAAGGAGGGGGAGGAAGTGATGTTTTGAGAATGTGGCTGGGAAAGGGACCCTTGCGATTGGTGGATGCTCGCACGGGAGGGAGAGAGGGTGGGAGTGAGAGCGACAGGGAGAAGAGAGAGAGAGAGAGCAAGTTCCTTAATCTGAGAGGGCAGCGCTGCGCAAAGTGACGAAGGTCCGAAGGGGAAGCCTCCACGCCGTCCGTCCGTCACGACTATAACGACATCCACCGGGTTTCTGCCGGGCGTAGCGAGCGAGCGAAATGCACCCACGCTCCAAGAGCGTCTCCGTCGAGGGCGAGATTACGGAGGTACAGAGCCCACTTACGCCGTTTTGTCCTCTTAATTTGGGAAGTGGTACGCACGTTGAACTTCTTTCGCACCGTACTTAGCCAACGGTGCTAAGCGGAGGTGCGGGGAAGGACAGCAAAGCGAAGTGGTGTTCGTGACACTGCACGCGCGCATGTTACATAATCAGAGTGATGCAATTGGATGTGAATTGGCAGCGTAGCGGATAAAATTTTGCCGAGAGCTGTTGCGAATGTAAGTACAAATCTCTGAGCGTGGCGAGCGATTGACAGCAGAGGATAACGACGCTGCGAGTTTTGCTCGGGGTGGAAGACCATAGAGGAGGTGGAGGACGAGGTGGAGGACGAGGTGGAGGGTGATGAGCTGTGGGGTTTGGGTGTCCAGGGCATGAAGGGCTTTGTGTGGCAGGGTCTTTAAGGCAACGATTTCAACTTGAACACAAGCGAGGGCATGAAGCGGTCTGAGTAATTGAGGTGTTTCGACTGCAGTAGCTTAAGCCGCAACGCCGTGATCTTCCTTTCCAGCGAAAGAAAACAAAGCCATTGTTTATTTTAAATTAACATTGTTGTATTGTCCGAGTTCACTGAAGTGGAAACCTATGAATACATTTAGAGGAGTGACTGGTAATGCTTAATCACAATGTCGTAACGCTTCAAGAGCCTTGGCTGATAAAATATGTTGGGGGAAACGTGTACTTAACGGCTGTCTGTTTTGAATGACAGCGGATTGCAGTATAATTAGAAATTGCAGGAGAAACGGTAATGCTTAAACCAACGATTATTAGAGGCCTGCAAGACTTGACATTTTGGTTATTTACAATCGTCAACAGAAATAACCGGAGGTGCTGGTGCATTGACAGTGGACTGTGGGGCACAAGTACAATGAACATACTCGGCATGTTCCTCAATAACAACAACAGCACTTGTGTGTGTGTGTGTTTGTGGTCTCCAAAAGTATATAATATACGACGTTTCGGGCATGGCCCTTCTTCACAGCACGTAGAGAGGCAAACGAGGTAGAGTGTTGCTGTGTAGAGTGCTGGCCTCACTACATGGACGTCGCGGTGGTGAGATGTTAACTACCTCGCTTGGTATGCAGGAGGTCGTGGGTTCGACCCCGACCCTGACGCCTGCTGTGTATTTGGAGTTTGCGGTGTCTCTGTCTCCCCGTGGTCGCGTGGATTTTTCTCCGGGTCCTCTAGCGTTTCCCTCCACATTTATAATCATGCGTTTATAGGCTAGATGGCTGCTATAAATTTCCCCGCGATAAGCGACTCTGTGGAGTTATCATTTGTGGACAGGTCGCTTCTGAAAAAGAGCTATGTAGCTCAGTAAACTTTACATGAATTTCGATTTAAAGCTTTCGTGACTGCAATGATTCATCTTCTTTGGTTCTTTCGGTAAAGTCACGTAGAATGAGAATAAAATAATAAATTGATAAAATAAAATAACACAATATTCTCACGACGTTTCGGCCACAACACAAGCGGCCTTCATCAGGTGAAGGGACGAGACTGTCTGGTAGGACAGCGCTGGAGACCACTCCAGCCACAGTGTTATGGGCGAACGTGTTGAATATTTAGTTGTTGTTGTAAAAGTTGCTCAAACGTGAGCGGGACAGTGCTCACATCCATAAGTGGCCAGTGTTGGAAATTCCACATTTCTATGGAAATATATTTTGGATGCAAATGTATGAAAGGAAGGCTGCACTGCAGATGTATTAACTCGTGTGTGAGCAAGTTTCCCTCAAGATGTATGTACTGATGTATCGATGCACAGGTTATAATTGACTTATATTCATGATGCATTTAATCGTCTGTTAATTGTTTACATTTTTTGCGGTTGATAAGCTTAACGTTACATTTAGAGTAATGAAGTGAGCTAAACTGCACAAGCGGCAAACCTATAGACTTGCATACAACCCCGTAACTTACATAGAGACACGTACATAAACATACGTACATGGTGACCCATACACTTACAAAGATATCCGTAAACACGCATGGAAAAATTACCTTTGTAAACAGGTGAGAGCTCATTGAGACCCGGAGTCTATTGCAAGGGAGAGACGTGCGAGCGGGGAAACTCAGGTTCAAACTTAGCGCAGCAACGCGATTTGTGCGGCGCCGGCCGTTCGGGAGCTTGCGTGATGCAGAACTTTAAGCCGTCCTGTAAGAAGGCTGCTTTGTTACGTTATACACAATGCCCTTTATCAGAGGGTGGCGGTGGCGCAGTGGCTAGCGCACCGTGCTGTGAACACGGCTAGCCGAGTTGGATTTGGGCCCAAGGCTAGCGTCGGTGGCGTGCGATACCCACACCACCGGCCCTCACTGAGCAGCATGGGGAAGTATGGCAAGATGACCTCTATAATTAACACGGTGTGGGGAAGGCGTTTATCCAGCAGTGTACATTATTATGATTATTAGTTATCTTTGCTGAGTCTAAAGGCTTTTTATCAGGAGGATCCTGCTGCGTTCAGATGTTTGGCCAACACCATTAATGAGTGTTTGGCTTCGTGTGGGAGGGAAACTGGACATGGCACGTGCACAATCTCTCCCAAAAATGAACAAATTCTGAATCAAGGAAACCGAAGTGATCGGAGAAACCCCACGCACAGCAGGAGACAGCAACTCCACAGATGGATTAATATAAAAGTCATCCAGCCGCTTGCCTAGCCTCTAAGAGCCCCGTGATCGTAGTCCTGTACATCGAAAGTATCCAACCTTTAAGAGACCTATAATCCTGGTCCTGTACAGCAAAAGTATCCAGCCTCTAAGAGCCCCATGATTCTAGTCCTGTACAGCAAAAGTACCCAGCCTTTAAGAACCCCATGATTCTAGTCCTGTACAGCGAAAGCTTCCAACCTTTAAGAGCCCATAATCCTGGTCCTGTATGGCGTAAGTATCGAGCCTTTAAAATAACTTCCGTATGAAATGGCTTATGGTCAGGAAGATAACAGCTGCGGCTGTTTTGGCTAATCACCTTCCTGCCTCCTGCCCTGGTACCACACCACCACTCCCTCCCCCCAACCTTCTACAAACTCCAGCTACCCGCCCCCCCCCCATGTGACCAGTTACCATGGTTACCATCTGGTCCCAATTTCCCTTGCTTCGAATGTCACCTATACCACCACCGCCACAGCCACTGCCACCGTTATGCCTCGTGCAGGCAGGGTCAGGGCCTCACAGCCCAGGGTCGGGTTGGTGTCATTCGACACCAAATCCATAGCACTCAACGTCTGTGGGAGTCACTGTCTGAGGAGGTCAGGGTCAATGGAACGTTAATCAATGGAGGTGTGCGATCGTTTGAGCCGACGAGATGGGATGCTGGGTTCGATTCCTAGCCACGTGTATACCTACGTGTGTGTGTGTGCGAGTATGGTTGTGTGTTGAAGAAGGGTGCCGTAGTGTCGTGGTTAGCGCGCTGCGCTACGAACCCAGCGACCCGATTCCTGCTCACGGTCAACACCAGTGACGATTATCTGAACTGGTCCTGGGCCGCTCCTAGATCGACTCGACCTCAAATGAGTACTTGGTGCGGTGTGTAAACATCGCCACTGGGGAGACAAAGGCGGTCGGGTGTGGTGCTGGCCACCCACCCCCTCGTGCGCCGTGCCTGGCCTGCATAGGTGCTATTCGCGAACAATGCTTTCCCTAAACGTTTGCTAAAAAGGCAATATTGGGGGATCTTCGTCTTTGTGTGCATGCAGTCCCAGCTGCAGGCGTACGTGTGCTGGGTGAACGGGCAGCTGCGCCGCGTGGCAGGAGCGGCGCCCATCCGAGAGCTGCGAGCGGACATGAGGGATGGCACGGCGCTCGCCAACCTTCTACTGGCGCTCCGTACGGCGACACGCGGAGACACACGGGGACACACGGGGACACACGGGGACACACGGGGACACACGGACACTGACATAGAGACACAGGGACATGCGAGACACGCGAGACACGCGGCGACATGGGGACGCAGAGACATGGACATGGGGTTACTGTTATGGGGACATGGGGGCACGGAGATGCGGGGACACGGGAATACTAACATTGAGACTGACATACGGACACAGAGACGGAAATAGGAATACAGAGATATGGAGAAGGCAGTGCAGAAAATGTGTGGACTCTGGCTGTTACATCTGTATGGGATAGAGATTTTCCCACTCGTACATGCGGGTTTTCTTCCGGTGTGTAGCGGTTATCGCGTTACGCTACGAACCCGGCGACCCAAGTTCAATTCCCACTCACGGCCAACACCAGTGACGAATATCTGAACCTGTCCTGGGCCTCCCCTAGGTCGACTCAGCCTTATATGTGTATCTGGTGCGGTGTGTGAACATCGCCACTGGGGAGACAAAGGCGGCCGGGCGTGGTGCTGGCCACCCACCCCCTCGTGTGCCTTTCCAGCCTTCATAGGTGTTCGCGAACAACCCTTACCCCAACAGTCTTTTAAGGGTACACAGGGGATCTTTGTCTATGTTTGTGCGTGCTCGTGTTATCTCGTGCCGATGATGTTTTTGCCAGCCGTAAGCATCACATGGTCGGGGTGGTGCTGGTGGAACAAAGGCCGTGCTATGTTCAGCGGCATGCGGAGGTGGCCAATGGGATTGCTTTCATTGAGACTCTTAATGGACTGCACCTGCTACATGTGAGAGCAAGGGGAGGAGGAGGTGGTGGTGGCTCGATGGTTCAAAGGCGTTTGAAATGCCCGTGTCATGGCACCGCTCGCTGCATTCTTAAATTGTAATACAAGTTTCAGTTACCCGTGTTTAAACGTGAGATGTCACACGCAGTGAGTTGATGATCTCAGCTCAATGACTGCCCATCGAGTCAACTTTGGTCCTCTTTGCCAAATGATACGTATCCCAGCTGCGAGGCCCTAACCCTTTTCGGTTGTATTGTCATGCGACAAACACTCCTCTGGAGGTCCAGTCGCAACGCGTGCTCCCCCGTGCGGCCGTGGGGCCCGCTCGAGTCACGTCTTCTTCCCAGGCCGTTCTCTTGGCGAAGGGCGAGGCCACTTCCGAAGTGAAGTGGCGTCGTCCCGTGGCGACGCGATGCCTTGTAGCACAAACGTTCAGTGGCTCCCGCGCGCCACAGAGCTGCTTTTGTGGCGCGTAAGTCGTACAGCGATGCGTAATAGCACTGAGAAGACGATGGCGGCTCGGCTTGGTGCCATGCTGGCTTTAATAGGCGCTCGCTATCGCCAGCACTTTCCCCGCCGGTCTCTTTGGACGCACGGAGAATCCTCAGGGCTCTTCACGTCGGAGGGGAGAGAGGCCGAAAAACGACCGTCACACCCAGCATGCGTCCTCTCGATGTGAACGGCAGTCGTAGCGATAGTTGATTGGGTATCTCCTCGATGCGGGAAAACAGTAAGGTTTCGAGATTTTTTTTTATAGCCAGGTGGTGGTGGCGATCATGCACGTGGCCTATGATCCAACACTGAAGGCAGTGAGGGACGGTGGATCACCGCACAAATGTTGCGATACTCCCTTCCCCGTGGGCGTCGAGGAGGAGCCGGACCTTGGCTCTGCAAGTAGAAAGCAGCACAGCAAAAATGTGCACTCCATCTGTTACGTCTGTATGGGATAGAGTGTTTCTCTCTCGCATACGTGGGTTTGCTTTGGGTGTTTCGGTTTCCACCCACATGTAAACACTCATTCAATGGCCGGTAACACCTTAACATATAGAGGGTCGCAGAACTCAGGCAATTGTTGGTAGCGTAGGCTCACAGCGTGGCTGCTGCTGCCGCCTTCCCCTCTCGTCTGTGGTTCCTCCCTCCCCCGCCCTTCCCCATAGTGGGCGTGCGCGTGCACGTCCACGAGACGCCGAGCACCGCGGACGAGGCGAGGGACAATGTGGAGGCCGTTCTGGGCTTCATCGCGAGCCGCGGCGTGCGTCTGCACCAGACGTCTGCGCAAGGTGAGCGGGGCAGTGGCGCGGCGATGACGCTGGCGCGGCAACAATAGCGCAGTAGCAGCAGCAGCAGCAGCAGCGGCGGCACCGTCAGTCCGCGCGACGACACGGCCGTCTGCGAAGATACTCCGCATTTAGAAACGTGTCTATATTATTTGGCTGCTATAAATTCCCGCACGTGATAAGCCACTTCGTTGAGCTGTTATTTGTGGCCAGGTCGCTTCTGAAAATGAGCTAATAGCTCAGGAGGCCTTACCTGCTAAATAAAATAGTAAAGCAATGGAAGGGCTATTGACCAACACGTCACCTATTATATAGTGTTCCTTTTAAGGCCACATTATTCTTTGTGAATGTGTTGAGTTTTCAACCACCCACTCCCCCCTGCTACCCACTTCCACAGACATCATCGACGGCAACCTGAAGCCAATCATGCGCGTCGTCCTTGCGCTGGCCGCTCACTTCAAGCCGACCAGTCAGAGGCGCCGATACTCAGGCTCCGGCGCGGGCGAGGCCTCGTCGCCGACGGCGATGGCCAATCGCGCGCCGCGCTCCGCCGTTGCCATGGCGCAGAGCGCGGCTGCCATCTGCGAGGCCCGGTGAGGGAACGCGCTGGCGGTGCCGTCGTCGACGTCCGGGCTCCGTGGTGAACGGGGGGGGGGGGGCGACGTTGCCGTCTGCTCCCCCCTTGCGGCCAAATATTTTAGGCGCCGTGGTGGCGAGATGTTGACTACCTCGCGTGGTATGCAAGGAGGTCGTGGGTTCGATCCCGACCCTGACGCCTGCTGTATGTTTGGGGTTTGCGGTGTCTCTGCCCGTGGTCGAGAGGAATTTTCTCCGGGTCCTCTGGTTTATTCCTCCACATTTTGAGAGATGCGTTCAGAGTATTTGGCTGCTGCTTTAAATGTCCACGTGATGAGCCACTTCATTGAGCTATCATTTGTGGCCAGGTCTTTCTAATGCTCAGTGGGGCCTTATCTGGTAAAAATACAATAATTTAAAGTTTAAAACTTCGGTTCTCGTGGCCCCCGACAGCATGCTTCTCCGCATTTACCGATATTCACTCTCGATTGCCATGCTGCGCGTGCCTGGTGATTGGTAAACCGTTTTTCGCGTGCCGTAAAGAGTGCTGCTGATTCGCTATAAGCTGGAGACCTTATGTGTTTTATGTGCGTGCGTAGCACAGTAGTGGGGAGTGATGGCGTCGCGGTTATTGCGCTGCGCTAAAAACCCGCCGACCTGAGTTCGATTCCCGCTCATGCCCAACACCGGTGACGATGATCCGAACTGGTCCTGGTCCTCCCTTAGGTCGACTCGGCCTCAATTGAGTACCTGGTGTGGTGTCTGGCGTGGTGTTGGCCACCCACCCGCTAGTGTGCCGCTCCGGCCTTCATAGGTGCTGACAAATAGCACTTGTTCTCTACATGAGCTGGGACGTGTTTAGCGATCATTAGGTGCGTGTGGCATTTCACAACTTAGTTTGTATTTGGACGGACAAGATTGGAGAAAAGACATTTAAGTTAAAGTCGAGTCACTTGAATTAGATTCAAATAGTCAATATGGTGACGTAGGTATAGTGTTATGACGGAGTGCCCGACTGAGGTTAAAGTCTTTTAGTCTCATTAATCAAGCTTCAAACTCACTTTGGACACCCCAGGGAACCCGGCTGAGATGCATACGATTAATGTACACGTGCAAGATAAAATCATATTGAAAGGAGCGGTCAGAAGGAATAAGTTCAGGACCTTGACCCTATCGTCCACTTAACCATATAGCTCTTGTTGAGAAGCGACCTGGCCACAAATGATAGCTGAACGAATCGGCTCATCAAGCAGAAATGTATAGCAGCCAAATACTCTTAAATGCTTGATGTTTATTCCAAATGTGAAAGGAAAAACCTGAGGTCCCCGGAGGAAAATTCACGTGACCATGGGGAGAACGTGCAAACTCAATTTCCAGGTATCGTCAGTGTCAGGATCGAACCCACGGCCTCCTGGGTACCAAGCGAGGGAGATAGCATCTCGCCACCGTGGCGCCTTAAAATAAAAGAGGACATTCTTCCACAGCTGTCTTTGTTCCCTCAGGGTCCCCCCATGCCCCCTACAAAGTGAGGACTCCGCACCCCCCGGACTTCCCGAGACTCCCAGTTCCCCCAGCGCCCTGACCTTCCGCAGCGTCCGTGATCGCGTGCGTCACTACGAGGGTCAGCGGGGTCACGGGGTCACCGGGGACACGCCCGCGTCGCCACGGTAACCACAGGGGGAGCGCTGTAGGGGGGTTTCCACCTGTCCGGGGATTGGCATCTGTGAGTGGGGCGGCAGGAATTGATTTGTACAGAGATCCGATACCGGTGTTGTGTCGAACTTTGTTACAGTATCACTGCGCAGGTTTGATAACAGACCTCGTGATGGCTGAGAAAATATTGTCGGGGTTCGGTCTGCAGTGGAAAAGATGACGGCTCCAAGTGCAGTGGAGGGGGAACTTTTGATTGGTTGAGCATTTTTATTGACGCTTTCCAACTGAAGGGTGAGGGCATTAATGCAGACTTCCGCTCGAAAAAGTTTCTGCCAGTTTGATTGCTGGGGTCCCCATAATCCAGAGACGTAAAGGACACGAAAAGGACTGCTCGCAAGCGTGCACACACACACGCGCGCACGCACTGTGCCCCGACTTCTTTCCACGTCACATTCTGATCTGCTCAATAAATAATTTCAGAAGACGAACGCTCATTCGGACACGTCAGATAATCCACCCATTCACCACAACGCGTGGATTGTGAATGGCCTGCAATCCCCAACTCCCTCTGTTCGCCTTGCCCAAGCACGCACTGTTGCGCACACTCCCGTATTCGCAAACTGGCTTTTGATTTTTTCGACTCGCAGATGGCGGTGAGGTGGCGGTCGCTGAGCGGGTTATCTCTCTTTCCGTATAAACATTGTTGGCCGCTCTCCAGGTCAGGTCATGCTCTTTCAAAAATGACAAACTTGGATTTTGAGAGAGGGATTTTTTTGTTATGTTTTTTCGTGTATTTCCCATTCTCGTGTGACTCTCTTTTCTCAATTTATAAGGAGTGCGTTGCAAAAACATCTTCCAATGAATCAATAGTAGTATGACGGCGACGATTATGATAATGATCTTGATTAAGGGGGTAGCAATGCATTATGTAATCGATCGTTAAGTTCACGATACCTGCATCGAAGATTATACGTTTTTTTATTATGAATATTTGTTGTCAGTAAGGTGGAAGAGATGACCTTGACCCCTGCAGCCAGCAGTGGCTGCTTACACTCACCACAGTGTGAAAAAAATCAATTGATTCCTGAATCGAACCGAGATCTTGAATCGTCTCAATTCACCGAAATGCCAGGGGGGAGGATTTCTCCGGCTCTGTCGAGGGTGCGTGCGTATCCTGTACACGTACACGTGCACGAGGCACGCACGTGTTACTTTGCCCAATCTGTGAGCAAAATAAGTCATGTAGTCCGATCAGTTTGCTCAGTGGTTTTCAAGCTATCTGTCGGAGAGAGACAACTGCACTGTTGAAAACAGCATTGGAGCACAAGTGACAAAAAAACTCAACGAGTTTCTTAATAGGAAAATTGTACAAGGGGTGGCATTCGAAGCGGTGCCCTTCTTATTTGATGTGCTGGAAAAGAGGGGCCGAAACGTCACCCAGAAACGTCACCCATTCATTTGCTTTTCTTTTCAAGGCCGCGGTGTTGTTGACGAACGCGTTGATATTTTTTTGCCAACCGCAAAATGCAGTGGAGCGTGTATACCGAGGCCATTGTTACGGTGGACTGAGATAGAAACGGTGGAAAGCTGCTTTGGAGTGCTTGTGAAAGTCTGAACATAGTGCCAATCAACACAGCGACGTGTCCGAAAGAATATGGTTTATTTTAATCGGTGTGTACCACTTGCTATGTATGACACCTGGGCCCAGCAACATGAAACATTGACAAAGACAATGAAACAAGCTGAAGAGTGTCCATACAGGAAAAGGTGGAGAGTTTGCTGCGTGGAATTACAGGAAGATTTGCATTGGATTGTGTTTTACCCGCAAACGTGCATACTTAACGGTGGGGCCGTCCGTCTCTATGCCACAGGTCACAATGCGATGCCACGTCAATGAAGCCAATCGCCGTGGCCCCGGCGGATCACGTGACCGACACGTCCGGCCAATCGGAGCAAGGCCGGACAACGTTGAAGGAGCGGTTGCGCATTTACTCCGAGGATGGCGGTAAGACTATCGCAGTCGTGCGACAATTCACACTCGCAAATGTGAATTTGAAAAGTGCAGGCCAGCTCCCTCGTGTACGCATTAACGTGTGGAGGGGGGTCCTGATTATCCACATTTATTAATTAATTCGTCCCAACGTTTTATCATCGTCATGTGTTGACAAAAGCTCTGCTCTCGCGTGGAATAACTTCCACATCCGGGTCCTTAAGTGGGTGCCATGACGTCACCATGGCACCAACTTGAGGCCCAAAAGTTCCACGGTTACTGGAATAATAACCGATGACAAAATCCGAGATGAGCAGTTTAAGAAGCGGCAGGGAGTGTACACGTGCGCCATGATGTTGTGTGGCGTCTTGTTGCAGGGGGCTTTCTGGAGGCTGTCGGCTGGGAGGCTGATGTGAGAAGTGTGCAGAACCTGCTCAACTCTCTGCAGGTAACTGGAGCCGGGGCTGCGATGCGGATGTTGAAGTCAACCGATGATGCTACCGATCGTCGGTTCTATTGCTCCGCCGCCGCTGATCAGATAACACGAAAATAATTTTGAACAAAAAAAGGTCTCGCGATCGTTCCTGCTTGTGTGTGCTGCTGGACGGGGGATCTTCGTCTTTGTGTGCCCCACCAGGCCGTGCTGCTCAACGGAATTCTCTCCGAGGAGGAGGAAGAGGAGCTTCAGCTGCAGCTGTCCGAGGACAACGCCTGGGAAAAGACGGTGAGTGGGGAGAGACATCTGCACCCACCCGCGAAAAACAAGGGCAGAGAGCTCATGCCGGGAGTGGATAGCGAAGGGGCTCGGGGCCCCTTGAAGATTCCCGGGGGCTCGATAGTTCTGCTCTGGCTACCCTGGCTGTGCCTGGGGCTCGTTGTTGCTGTTGTGTTGTCGCTGTGTTGTTATTGTATCGTGTAGTTGTTGCCACGTTGTTGTTGTTGTCGTCGCTGCTTCCCACGCTGCGCCGCAATGTCTCTCTCTCACCTCTCCCTCCTGTCCCTGCCCTGATCCTAATCCCACCGCCATTCCACCCTCACGTAGCTTTTCACCGCTGTGAAGCGTCTCGTGTTGCAATGTGCGTACGCATGTTGAACTCCTTTCACACCGAGCGTAGACAGTCTTGCTAATCGGAGGTGCGGGGGAAGGACAAGAAACTAAACACACGCAAAAAATTCTGCCGGGGATTGAGACGTCCTGCAGATTTAAATTGTTGTCGTTGCTTTTTGCTGTCGGTGGGGATTTAACCGTGAACTGACGTGGGCCTCCTCTTCCTGCAGATCATCCTACAGGGCCGTCTGCATCAGGCCACTGAGGAATGTCACCTCCTGAAGGTGGGCGTCTCTCCAAGGCTAGCCTCTCGCCGAGATAATTATTTTAATTATTACGAATATAATTCCAGCCGCTTGTCAATCCACTGCTGCATGAAGCCCCCGCGCCAGAGTCGTGTCAGTCATGGGGGTCGTTTGAACATACTTCACGCTGGTGAGTGCGAGTTGGTGAGCTTGGGTTGGTGGGTGCAGAGATCACTCACCGCCGATGTTAGCCAAGTCTCGGAATCGAACCCGGGCAGCTCGGTGTGAGAGCTGGCCAACGTACAATGCTGCGTGGGTAGCCGGCTGGCTTCGAAGTCAGAGTGCTCAGCCGGCAGCAATCTCTTACCTCGTTCTAAAAGAGAAAGAGTACAAAACGGGATAATGTCTACCGAGATCAATCCACTGCTGGATGAGACGTATTTGTTCTCCTAAAACCATTGCCCCCCCCCCTCCCGTTCCCCCCCCCCCCCAGCAAGACGTCTTGAAGTGGAAACAAGAGAGCGTGCACACGAAGGGCGTCGTGGTGAGGCCGCTCGCGTTGGCGCTTTCTCCGTTCGAATCCAGGAGGCCGCCCTGGTTACTACTGCGGGTGTAATAACCGTAATGATACTGCGGGTGTGATAACCGTAATGTATACTGTGGGTGTAATAACCGTAATGATACTGGGGTGTAATAACCGTAATGATACTGTGGGTGTAATGACTGTAATGATACTGTGGGTGTAATAACCGTAATGATACTGGGGTGTAATAACTGTAATGATACGGTGGGTATGATAACCATAATCATACTGCCGGTGTGATAACCGTAATGATACTGTGGGTGTGATAACTGTAATGATACTGGGGTGTAATAACTGTAATACTACTGTGGGTGTAATAACCGTAATGATACTGTGGGTGTAATAACCGTAATGATACTGTGGGTGTAATAACCGTAATAATACTGTGGGTGTAATAACCGTAATGATACTGTGGGTGTAATAACCGTAATGATACTGTGGGTGTGATAACCGTAATGATACTGTGGGTGTAATAACCGTAATAATACTGTGGGTGTAATAACCGTAATGATACTGTGGGTGTAATAACCGTAATGATACTGTGGGTGTAATAACCGTAATGATACTGTGGGTGTAATAACCGTAATGATACTGGGGTGTAATAACCGTAATGATACTGTGGGTGTAATAACCGTAATAATACTGTGGGTGTGATAACCGTAATGATACTGGGGTGTAATAACCGTAATGATACTGTGGGTGTAATAACCGTAATGATACTGTGGGTGTAATAACCGTAATGATACTGGGGTGTAATAACCGTAATGATACTGTGGGTGTAATAACTGTAATAATACTGTGGGTGTAATAACCGTAATGATACTGTGGGTGTAATAACCGTAATGATACTGTGGGTGTAATAACCGTAATGATACTGTGGGTGTAATAACTGTAATGATATTGTGGGTGTGATAACTGTAATGATACTGTTGGTGTAATAACCGTAATAATACTGTGGGTGTAATAACCGTAATGATACTGTGGGTGTAATAACCGTAATGATACTGTGGGTGTAATAACCGTAATGATACTGTGGGTGTAATAACCGTAATGATACTGTGGGTGTGATAACCGTAATGATACTGTGGGTGTAATAACCGTAATGATACTGGGGTGTAATAACCGTAATGATACTGTGGGTGTAATAACCGTAATGATACTGTGGGTGTAATAACAGTAATAATACTGTGGGTGTAATAACCGTAATGATACTGTGGGTGTAATAACTGTAATGATACTGTGGGTGTAATAACCGTAATGATACTGTGGGTGTAATAATCGTAATTATACTGTGGGTGTAATAACTGTAATGATACTGTGGGTGTAATAACTGTAATGATACTGTGGGTGTAATAACCGTAATGATACTGTGGGTGTAATAACCGTAATGATACTGGGGTGTAATAACCGTAAAGATACTGTGGGTGTAATAACTGTAATGATACTGTGGGTGTAATAACCGTAATGATACTGTGGGTGTAATAACCGTAATGATACTGTGGGTGTAATAACCGTAATGATACTGTGGGTGTAATAACCGTAATGATACTGTGGGTGTAATAACCGTAATGATACTGTGGGTGTAATAACCGTAATGATACTGTGGGTGTAATAACCGTAATGATACTGTGGGTGTAATAACCGTAATGATACTGTGGGTGTAATAACCGTAATGATACTGTGGGTGTAATAACCGTAATGATACTGGGGTGTAATAACCGTAATGATACTGTGGGTGTAATAACCGTAATGATACTGTGGGTGTAATAACCGTAATGATACTGGGGTGTAATAACCGTAATGATACTGTGGGTGTAATAACCGTAATGATACTGTGGGTGTAATAACCGTAATGATACTGTGGGTGTAATAACCGTAATGATACTGTGGGTGTAATAACCGTAATGATACCGTGGGTGTAATAACCGTAATTATACTGTGGGTGTAATAACTTTAATGATACTGTGGGTGTAATAACCGTAATTATACTGTGGGTGTAATAACTTTAATGATACTGTGGGTGTAATAACCGTAATGATACTGTGGGTGTAATAACCGTAATGATACTGTGGGTGTAATAACCGTAATGATACTGTGGGTGTAATAACCGTAATGATACTGTGGGTGTGATAACCGTAATGATACTGTTGGTGTAATAACCGTAATGATACTGTGGGTGTAATAACCGTAATGATACTGTGGGTGTAATAACCGTAATGATACTGTGGGTGTAATAAACGCGTTGTGGTGTAACGGACTTGCATACTGTGGCGTATGCCCCTTCAGGCATTACTGTGGAATGCCAGAACAAAACGCAACGGTGGATACGTGAAGACGTCATTCGCAAGAGTGAGCCGTTGCTTGCCGGCATCGCGGTCGTCGTTGGCGGTGGTGGGGGATGTTTATTTTTGTTTTCCTGCCGGCACACAGGATGGCCTGCGGAGCTGTCTGACGCAGCAGGAGGCCACGCTGCTGCAGGCGAAGCAGGAGCTGCTGCGGGCCAACATAGAGAGGGAGAGCGCCGTGCATCACAACGTAAGGGCCCCCTCGCGCGCTCCCCACCGCTCGCTATCCGGAAGCTTCATCCGCGTTTGTTTTTTTTCGTACGGGCGAGGCCACGTAGTCGTTTTCAAGTGCTGCAATTCTTGCCGTTAAAACTTCTGTATTCACGATGAATGTTTTTGTGAAAGGTTAGACCGCGTAAATATGAATGTGCCAATTAGTTACGAATTCAGCACACACCCAGTGTGTCGGAGAGTAAAACCCACGACATTTACAGTTCGAGTACCGGGATGTTTCGCTGGCTATTACTTCTTTCACACCGTTACTTAGCCCAAACCGTGCTAATCGGAGGCGCGCGGCACGAAGCCAAACACAGATATACCGGATCACAGAATTGGCTACGATAAATCAACTAACAGGAAGCGTGCGTATCGTGTTTTTTTTTTTGTCCGGCGCTCTTGAGACGCTGCCGTTGTCACGTCAGCGGTCATGCTCGCCCCAAAGCGTTGTTGCGTTTTTGTTTTCTTTGTTGCAGGCCGAATTGCAAAAGAAGTTGGAAGAGAAATCCGCCCTCATCTCCGAGCTCAGGGTAAGAGACGTTTTTGGCCCCAGCCAGCGGTTGCCATGGTGAGACAGCGCCCCCCCCCGTGCGGTGACGTGACCGCGGTTGCGCTGGCGTTACAGCGTCCCATCTTTCTGTCTTTAGAGAGACGGGGGGGAGGTGCTCTTGCCGATAACATCTGGCGGTTCACCAATCCATCCTTGGTCTTGACCACCGGCAATAATCCCTCATTACGAAGCGTCCTGTCCAAGCCCATTTACGAAACTAAACTCTTTTTATTTTACCAGGTAAGGCCCACCTGAGCTCCGTAGCTCTTTTTTCAGAAGCGACCTGGCCACAAATGACAGCTCAAAGAAGTGGCTTATCAAGTGGAAATGTAAAACAGCCAAATGCTCTAAAACGCATGTTGATGTCTAAACGTGGAGGGAACAACCGGAGATCCCGGAGAAAAATCCACACGACCACGGGGAGAACGTGCAAACTCCAAATATACAGGCATTGTCAAGGGTCGGGATTAAACTCACGTCCTCCTGCATACCAGGCGAGGCAGTTAACATCTCGCCACCGCGGTGCCCTATTTACTTTTCTTAACGGTCTAACCCAGGAGTCGGCAATCTGTGTCTCCGGAGCCACACGCGACTCTTCACAGACTTCGCGACGTAATGTCTCTCGGTGGTAATTCCAAGCGTGCGCTTCTCCACAACAAACTAAACACAAAAAGCATGTGTACAGAAATTAGTTGGCAATCTTTATTTAAAAGTGCATAGCTCCAGTGGCTTCCTAATATCGGAAGGAAGAGCATTCCAGACGGCCGTAGAAGCGCGTCTGAAGGCACGATGCAGTGAAGTCTTTTGTTCGATGGCTGAGCGAAATGCCGCTGCTGCGAGGACGACCGAAATTTGCGTGATGGTTTATGCTCCTTGACGAGATTAGTAAGGTGTTGTGGTTCATTTGTGGCAAGCACTTTGTGTTAGGAATGAGCGCGACCTTATAAAGTTGTTCGGCAACCGGAAGCCGGACGCACATGGTCGGAGCTTGCAGTGCCCGTCACGACGCGTGCCAACGAATTGCGTTCACGCTGCAGCTTGGTAATGATTTTGCCAATGTTTTGTATTTTGTCAGAGGGAGGCAACGCTGCGGAGGAGGGAGGGGGAGGAGGGACGCTCGCAGAGGAGAAGTTTCTCCAACGGGGCAGCCCGCCCCTCCGGCCTCACCTCGCCCGGCCACAATGCTTCGGGCCACAGCTCGCCCGGACATAACTCGCCAAGCCACAGCTACGTCCATGCCAACCACTCGGTGAGTGACGTCACAACAACCTTTTGCTGGTCACACGGTTGGCTACGTACGTATGTATGTTGAACTTCTTTCGTACGTAGCCAACCGTGCTAATCAGCTTTCCAGACGACGCCATTGCGTGATTTTCCTTCCCATTTTGGGTAAAGGGGGGACGATAATGAAACCCACCCGCGTACTTGCCCCTCGCCCCTCGTGTCACAGCTGATCCGCGAGTCTCTGGGCAGCCTGAGGCGGGGGCTCTCTTCCCACGACCCGCGGCAGCACACCCTGGACACGCTCGAGCAAAGCATCCTGGTCCTCCTGGAGGTAAAGTGATGGTCACTTCCTGACCCCCAGCTCGCAAAGCACGCCTACGCACGCGTGACAAAGTGTCGTTAGGATGCAAGACACCACCCCGTTGGCTTACATCGTGTACATCGGATAGCTCTACCAGCGGAGGTGACAAACGCTCGACACATCGTGTGCTCTGGAGAAGGGCCATTACCTGAAACGTCGCATATTGTACATTTTTCCTTTTAAGGCCACGGTGTTATTGGCGAATGTGAGTTTGTATTATTCATAATACAGGAATAATAATGATCGTCACATGCCTATAGACGTGTTGCCCACACGTCTGACTTTGCATCTGTCCGTGCGTCTGTTCGTGCATCCGCCCGTGCGTCTGCCCGTGCGTCTGAACGTGCGTCTGCCCGTGCGTCTGCCCGCTCGTCGCAGTCGTCAGGGAGGGCGTCGCAAGCGCGGGACGCTCGCGCGGGAACCAAGCAGACCTCGGCAGCCCCCCGCGCCCCCCTCGCCGTGGCTGGCCCCCCACACGCAACCAGCACCAGCGCAAGCAACTCGCCCGCCTCCTGATGCCAGCGTGCGCCGAAGCCTCCGCTCCTCGTTCGTTTGCTCCTCGTTCCGAGCCTCCGATCGACCTCCCGATCAGAGCGCTTATTTCACCCGAGGTTGCACAACTTCAGTGACACTCGATCATTTTCACGGTTCGCAGTAGTTAGCCACGTGAAGAAAAATGGCACGGCTAAAAGCTTTTCGCCAACCGTATGATGTGCCAATTTCTGCCGTGGCCCACGGACTTAAAGGGCATTTGTGGTACGTGCCAGGCACGCCGGTGCTTTTGGGGATCCCGAACGCATTGTAGGGAATTGTAAGATTAGAAGGATGTTAGTCGATCTCCACTCCTTACATCCCATCACCACCACCACCACCACCACGGGGCCTTCCTTTCCATGCTCACCAGTCTCCTCCATTCCAATGCAACGCAAGTAGTTACGCACCTCCGATTAGCACAGTCGGGTACGTACGGTGCGAAAGGAGTTCAGCATACATACATACACGCTGCATACGCCTGTTTATTGCTAAACAGTGGCCCCATTTAATGTAGGGTGCCGGTTAAATTGAAGATGTGTGTGCGCATGCGTGCGTATGTCCCAGCATTCAAACGTGCTCGCTAACAGCACTTGACCCTACAGTTTGTAACAGCTATACAGCGGATATTTGTCTTGATCCCATGTTAGATGCACAGGTGGCGCACCTACCCATAACAGCTGGGTCTGTCCCGTGACCTCGTGCCAGCAGCAAGCCTTCCTCACTTCAAGTGGCCTCAAAATAGTGCACCTAGCCTGGCACAAGCCCTGTGGTGGCCTCACCGCCGACCAGTCGTCGCATATGACGTAGACGGGCTGATTCAAACAACCATTGCTCGCTATGTTACATGGGGCGGAGTTTCACAATCGTCTGGCGTGTGCAGCTCGTTACCAACCCATTTTTTTGTATTGGCACGAAGGAAAATTGGTCAAATCGGAAAAAAACGTGCCGTGGTGGGCTAATGAGGACTGGAGTTTAGAGAATCCCCTGGGTTATATGGGCATTAGAGGTTGCAATTAACACGGATCAGCAGTCTAGCGCTAGGGCCCTTGAGGGCTGCTTGCAGATCAGCCGTGCAACGCCTGAAGCGGTGTTGTCCTCTGAAATTACAAGTAGAGGGTGAAATCCGCTCTGTCGCGCTTTGCGTCACCGGCCATGAATTTGAGGGTTCCAAATGACGAAGCGTTTTGTTCTCGATCTGTTGATTTTAATCCATTGGGGCACATGGATCGCGTCGCTCGCACGAGATGCGATTCGTGTAGGTCGTATACGATTGGTTTACGTGACCCCCCCCCCCCGCCCATACAGACACTAGAGGCCGCTACATTCTCCAGTGTTGAATATAATTCGATTCTTGAGGTGGCTCAAGTGGTCAGGTCGCTGCTGCTAAGCTAAGCCGGCGTCGCTGAGGACCTGGGTTTGAATCCAGGCCTGTTACTAAACTGGCTTCTCAAGTGTAGACCGTCTCAGACCGATCAACAATGACTGCACACACACAAAAAAGCATCGCATTATAAAGTGCACTCGTATTTGGCCTCATTCCAGCTCTGAGAATTAAAAAAAATGTTACTCGTTTCATGGTCATGTGACGATCTCACAGCACAGCGTGTGGGAAAGTTGCGCCCCATGCTGTGTAGACGGTGCAAATGCCACCGGTGTAGAGATGCTGAATGTAGCGGCCTCTAGTGGCTGCAGGGGTGACTTCAATCCCATTGAATGCAACAGGTATGGATCCAGAGCCCATCGAAGAACGTATCGCGATGAGAGTGGATTGGTGGATGCATCGTCACTCCCCTACCCAGCCACTGCCTGCTCCTTCACGTGTGAAGGCAGATCGATTCCATGAGTTAAGTGCTGAAACCTAGACCGTGTTTAGAGAATTCCTTTTTTCAGCAAGAATGATTGCCGTTTTTACTTAACTTTACATTATTTAAAAGCTCAACAGGACGGATAAAACATACGATTTCAACTTGTAGCGTGCGCAGGCATTGGCTCGCTCTGGAAGAGAGGCAATGACTCAGAGGCGCGCGAAGCCAGACCAGCGGGAAGGCAGCTACGCGACGAGCCGGCGCCAACAATTTGCCAAAAGCTCTGCGATCCTCCATATCTTAACTTGTGTCATCGGCCAATTAACGAGTGTTTACATGTGGGAGGACAACCGGAGCGGCCGGAGAAAGCCGACGCGTGCGAGGGGGAAACGTTCGATCCCATACAGACGGAAGAGGCGGAGTCCACATTTTGACCGGACAGCCTCCAGGCGAGCCAGGGTTTGGCTTGTCAGCGCCGAGCACGGTTGGCTACGTACGGTGCAAAACTCCCGTTGCATGTGTGTAAGTATATATTTACATACACGTAAATACAAGGGAGTTTCGCTACATTTGTGCGATCCACCAACGGTCACCTCCGCAGTGCTGGATTACAGGCGGGCGTCACCATCGCCCGGCTAAATCTACACCCTTCCAGAAAAGTGCCCTACTTGGCAGACAGGATAAAAGTGTTTACTGTCTTATACGTTTGTCTTGCTGATAAATGCCTTCGATAGGCTGTGAATGATGAAGATTTTAAAAGTAAGCCGCACGTGATGAATTCCATGCAATCGGACAACTGTTTGGAGCCGATAGTGAACGCGATGTTATGAGTCACAGGACTTTTATGCCATTGGGCTGTTAAAAAACAATTTCACAAATACTGCCACGTCACCTTAAGTGCTCCCATCTCACGCATGTAATTGCACGGGTTCATACTTTTAAGAGGGTTTCGCCTGGATTTTTTCATGAACTTAAAAAAAAACGCATTTTAGTAACACAGTTCTGTACTTGACGTGAAAGGTTACATCGTTAAGATTGGCCATTATTTGCCGTTTGCTTAAAAGTGCCGAACAGCCGTATGCCAAAAGACGCAGGTGTTTGTGGGGGGTTTAAGGACGAACATGCCCTATGGGGTGCCAGCCCCGTCACGCAAGTCGTAAAATATTTGAGCGCATCATGCGTCGGAGCGTCTTAGCAGCGACCATCGGCCCTCGCTCGTCCTTTCGTGCCATCGCAGAGCCGGCTTATGGACGCAGTACCGTGCCGACTCCGTGTTCTTGCAAAGGGAAATTGAGTGTTCAGGTCCATGCGGCGTACAGCCGTTTCTATACGGGCGAACACGTGTTTTTGTTGTCTATTCGTCTGTGTTTCTCCCTTGCGATGGGACCTTGTAGGATGAACGTTGAGATTTATAAGGTGGTCAATAAGTGTCTGGATCGGTCTCGATTAAGGTCGGCACTGATAAGGGGTTGACGGGGTACGTGGACGTTGAAGTTCCCGTTATACCACAGCGCCACCGGGATGGCGTGCAAAGCAGTCGACTCTTAAATTATCCGGGGCCAATGGATGGATCAAAAATAAGGATAATACTTATGGAAATTTGGCTTTTAAAAAAATTCAGAATTGGGGTTGAAGTCATGATGGCGTGTGGTCGTGTTTTTGTTTTATTTATCGGTTCTTTTAAGGGAATTGGTGGAGTCGTGGGCATCATCAGCAGCAGCAGCAGCGTCTTTTACGGGGGTTTCCCGCCTTCGGATATTTGGCGTGGGAACGGCGATAGCGAAAATAGGCTGATTAATTGATCACAAAAAAGTAGATTTTTAAGCTGAATAATAAAACTATTTCCGGCTCTACCATTAAACCAGAATCCACGTACGATAACATTTTTTCGCAACCCGTGAATAACCGAGTTAACTATGGATCTACGTTTACAAATGTTGCATTGAGTTATAATGCATAGCTTGGCTACTTTTTCACGCCGGTTTTCAAAATTTCTGCATTACAATCGGGTCCCTTCTCTGCACCAGACCATCCAACGTGGTATTGCAAATTTGTAATGGCCATAATTGGGCTACAGCTAAGTGCCTCTCGGGAGCCAACTTTCATTCCCCGCATTGTCCATTTGTTACACTGCCATTGAGAATGCCTGGTTTGTTCCTGTTACAACCACGAGCCAAAGCGTTTGTCAACGCAATTTCTCGGAAAACACGAGCCTCGGAGACTTTCAGGATAGCAGATTTAGATGTCTGGAAAATTCCTTTTCAAGGAGCAGCACCCAGAGAAAACCCCTGGGATGATGGGGGTTAAATGGATCCTTGCAAAGGCCGGTTTTAACGCGGAATTTTCTGCGCTGTGCATTTCGGGCCACCTCGTGGGTTTGAGAGTTTGACAAGTCTTTGACGCAACCCAGCAACCCTCGCTAGACCCCCACCGCACGCGGGCTCGATGCAACGCTCACCTCTGCTCAATTGCGCCGTTCGACGTTGCGCGCGTTTCGCGAACGCAGTCCCAAGAAACTTCCGTCACCTCGCACATTTTGTACTCTGGAAATTGTGGCATTTGAGCAACCGGATGGGGAAATGGGATCAGTGTTATGTATTTATTGTTCTGGGTTTTCTCCCAACGGTCGTGGGCTTGCAGCTCCATGCGTGCCATCCAAGCAGTGTTAAAATGCGCCAAGTTTTCTTCTGCAGACTTGCACGTGAATATATACGGACTTGAAAATGGTTTACATTATGAGACCTTTGCCAGTAACAAGATATAGTAATAGGTTTTACCCTTTTAACTGGCACAAAATCTGACACCTTTATTCAAGGCATCATGTTTGCAATAACCACAACACAAGCAGTCAAAATGTTTGCATTTTGACTGCTTGTGTTGTTTGACTGCTTGTGTTGTGGTTATTGCAAACATGATGCCTTAAATAAAGGTGTCAGTTTTTGTGCCAGTTAAAAGGGTAAAACCTATTACTATTGAAAATGGTTGCGCTAAAACTTCCCTGTTTCACGTTCTTTCCATTTTCAGCGAGTGCATACGTCCTCGTGTAACATGTTCCATGTGTGGGATGCTTTCATCTTTAGTGTACACAATGTATAAATGGTTACCAGTCTTATAATGGGCCCAATTCATCAGGTCCAAGAAATTTCCTTGATGGGTAAGGCCAAGTAAGAACCAGTAAACTCACGTTGGCCCAATTTCTCTCAGTTGGCGACAAGTGGCAATTCTGTGACTTGTCCACGTTACTTGAGAGTCTTCGCACGTGGTGGGAAGTAATTGCCTTCAAATACTTGCGAGTCGAAAGCCAAGCGGGTTGCTGGCAAATTAAAACGTCACTGTAAATTTTCGTCCCGCCTACGTTTTTGATTGCAATGTGTGAAACAAAATTCTGAAAAAGGGGAATCCATACCCGTCAACCCATATGGTAAGTTAACCCATATTCTTGTACAGGTAAATTGAGTTCAGGTCCATGCGGCGTACAGCCGTTTCAATAAGGGCAAATTTGTTGTCTTTGTGTTTCTCCCTTGTGATGGAACTTTGTAGGATGAACTTTGAGATTTATAAGGGCACAGCGGGTACCCAATAAGGTCTGAATTGGTCTAATAAGGTAGGGCACTGATAAAGGGGTTGACAGGTATAGGAATCGGGGCCGAGACTGGCCCAGAACATTCTACAAATGCGACCACGAGATTTTACAAACACAAGACGACAGGACTGTGAGAATGTGGATTTTATTTATCTGGTTTCCATGCGAGTGAACAGGCGCGCACACTCAGTGCTTCTTTGGCGTTGCTCCGGCAACCTGCATCATGCACACACCAGAGTACAACAGCACACACAGTTACGCTTGCATTCGGTATCAATGGACAAGCAGTGCAACCGAGCCCCGCTCAGAGAAACCATCACCGACTGCGCCAGTGAACCCACACGGGTGACTAAACAATTAAGACGATACGCCTCTCCCTTATCCGTTCCTCCACTATAGCAGAATTTTTTTCCACATCTCAGACAGGGCATTCTGGTCGTCGATTTTTTTCAGCTATTCAGTATAATTCCCAACATGCACCTCGCCGTGCCCTTCTTCGCACACTTTGCAGATCGTGTTCTGCTTTCTTTGTCAACGGCCAGGTTCATGATCGACGTCATGCGAGCAGGTCACGCACAGCGGTTTAAGACTTCCCTCTTTAGCAATGCAAGGACATGACTGCACCAGTAGAGGTTCCTTCTCCACACGGGAACAGCATGAAGGTGTATTTATTTAATCAAGAAGTAATTTAACTTAAAGCAGGCGAATACAAAAGGACAAATCCATGCTTAAGTTTATATGTAAAGCAGTGAGGTGCCATTGAAGATGGTTAAACTACGGCATGGATTGGTTAATAAATGTGTTAAAAAGGCCATCATACACATAGATTCACCGTCTATAGTTTTGCTCGTGCCTTCAGGGTCACCCAGATCGGTAATTTTTCAGTTATGTTTGTGCTATCAAGTCTGTATGGGTAGGTGTAGCTAAATGAGCATGTGTATTATGCATACGCGATTATTTGTATGTACGTTTGCGTGTACAAATACGTTTACAGTAAAACCTCAAAACAACATTCCCAATTTTCCCCGAAGACGCAACATTCACTATTCCTGCGCACCTGCTGTTCAATTTAACCAGCCCCCCCCCCCCCCCCCCCTTAAGAGCACACGAGTGAGGTTTTACTGGAATGTACTCATTAGACCTCCTTTCCCAGTACCAAAATGTAATAATAGGGTTTTTCCCCTTTTTTCTGGCAACAAAACTGAAACCTTTTTACAAGGATTCATGTTACTGCATTAACCACAATACCTGCAGTCAAAATGCAAACAAAAAACATACTATGATAATATATGCATTGTCCTTGAAACTGATTGGTCCACACCAAGGGACGGCTTTCTTTTGAGCCTCGACCCAATTGGCGCCATCTGGTCGAGCACCAATTGGGTCGAGGCTCAAAAGAAAGCCGTCCCTTGGTGTGGACCAATCAGTTTCAAGGACAATGCATATATTATAGTATGTTTTTTGTTTGCATTTTGACTGCAGGTATTGTGGTTAATGCAGACATGAATCCTTGTAAAAAGGTTTCAGTTTTGTTGCCAGAAAAAAGGGGAAAAACCCTATTATTAGAATTTACGCGTTGCATGTACGTGTGCACAATATCTCAAAACAAGCAAGAGCACTGGATGGATAACACATCAAGGTGCCACCAGTGGGGAACACAAATGGTCTAACTGCCAGTCACCGCACAGTCAATTAACCCTGGCACAGGTGCCGTGGGGACGTCACCGCCACCATTTAAGTGGCGCATGTATGTTGAACTTCTTCAGCACCGTACGCGGCCAAACGTGCTAATCGGAGGTGTGAACGGTGGTTGGCGCGTGTGCGAGTGTGGCGTACCTGTCCAGCGATTCTGTCGAGGTCCCTCTGCCCTGTGGGTGTCAGCCTCCTTCCCCTGAGAAAAACACACAAACGGCACCGAGTCAGCGACACAGTTCCCCCCCCTGCCCGAACCCCAGCGTGCGAATAAACCACCACACCTGCTGCCCATCTACCCCCCCCCAATGCAAAGTGTGAAATAACAAAAAAACCACCCTACACTACCACACTCTTACAAACATACAAATGTGGCACATTGCGCTGTGAGGTGGTCGGAAGCCTGTAAAGCAATGGATTTTCAAATCTTTATAAAGAGATCTTGAGTGTAATGCTCTCAAATGGGTGAGATTTCTCCGGGTTCCCTAGTTTCCTCCCACATGAAGCCAAATGCTCATTTAAGGCAAATGGTGCCAAACATCTCGATGCAGAACCCTCGTGAGAGTCTTGAGACTCAGGTGAGTATTTCCTGAGTAAGCTATTGTGAGTGTGACTTCTCATGATCCACTGACTCTCAACAGGCAACTGAATATTATGAGTGATACTTTACAGATAATTTCGATTTAAAGCTTTCGTGACTGCAAGGATTAATCTTCTTTGGTTCTTTCGGTAAAGTCACGTAGAATGAGAATAAAATAATAAATTGATAAAATAACACAATATTCTCACGAGAATGTTATTGACAGACTTCCTAAAATTATATTTCCTTTGTGATTTCTCCCTATTTAGTGCGGAATCTATAAATGGGATCACCCAAATTTTATAGACGGAATCAGATATACGCACTTCATCTAAATTCTGAAGTGCTTGGCGCAAGCTGTTAGTGCAATGCCCTATGAACCCTGCATTCCGAGTAAATTTCAGGCCACGGCTAATATCTCAGAAACAATGGTGTAAAGTGATCATTATATGCTGAGGAGACCTAAGGGAGGCCCAGACTACGTAGAAACATCAATTGCCAAGAATAATCACAGCCTGGTGTGGAAAACGGGTAAGCAGCATCTCGCAGCACATCACAGTTGCCACAACACCCCTACCCACATACACTTGCGTAAACAAAGATCCCCTGTACTCAATTTTAAGGCAGAGTTAATGCAGTCGAGGCCAAGGAACTGTTAATCGTTATCAATACCAATTTCCACTGATGTGATATTGCAGCAGGAATTTAACCCAACCTTTTCGGATCATAGTCCAGTGTGCGAGCCACTACGCCCCTGTACACTCGTAGTTAAGCAAAGTGGCCAATCTGAAAAGTAAAAATGTATAATTCACCCCAATACGTACGGGGTGTCATTTCTTTACAATCTGGGCTTAAGTCTGGAACACACCAATAATTTTACACGATGAAGGAAATTAATGCACACGTCCAAAACCGGAAGCATTACTCCTTTATTCTTGGTTCTCTCGGTAAAACCAAGAAAGGTGGACAAAAGTATTTCTATCAGAATCACAGTCCCAATTGGTTGATACCTATGCCTGCACTTTCTTTAGACGTGTCCATCAATCCGTCGCCTCCCTCAATCCGTCCCACCAGCCAGCAAAACTTTTCAACCGAAGCATGATGGAATGACGGCGTATCTCGGGCAAATTACGGCTGAGGTGGCAGGCGATTTGGCAGGCAGGCGTGACGCGCATCCCCCACGGCTCGACGCCGTGGGGGATGCGCGGGTGACTGTGTCGCCATGCAGATGTGCGTGGTGGCATCCGTGCGGTTACTGGAGTTGGGCTTCTCACCCGGTGGGATCCTTCTCCACCATCTTGAGGCTCTCGAGGGACTGCAGGACCTTGCGAGCGACGTTCTTGGAGCCGCGCGAGAAGTGGCTCGGCTTGGTGCCGTTGCGCTGCCGACCGCCGTAGATCTTGGTCATGGCGCCGACCCCGACGCCGCCGCGCAGGTACAAGTGTCTCACCACTGAGGCTGGTGGGGGGAACCACGGGGCACGGGGGGGGGGGATGGGACAGGGGGAACGAGTCAGTGATTGGGTCCTGATAAGAATCTTGAATCGAAATGATACACTGAATTGTGGCGATCGAACCGCTGGTCTTAAGTAGTCATCACCTCTGCACCTCTAATTAGCACGGTTGGCTACGTACAGTGTGAAAGAAGTTCCACATACATACATTACAGGCCAACTAGTTTATACGGCTTGGGGTGGGGAGGGTGGTGTGTGTGCACGTGTGTGTGCGTGCTCACACCCACGTGCGTGTTTTGAGTGTACATTCGGTTGCGTGCGCACGATTGGGCTCGTACCAGCGCGCACGTAGTACCAGTCCCCATCGTAGGGCGCCAGCTCCTTGTGTTTGGCCAGCTTCACTGTATCCACCCAGTCGGGCTTCTTGAGCTTGCCCGACCTGGAGCACAGGCGAGACACACATACACACCAATCTCTCAATTACGAGCAAAGTGGGCGGGGGCTGGTTCTGTAAATAATAAAAACTCAATCCAGCCTGTTTTCCAATGACGCGGTGGTCGTTGCGTTCCTGAACAGCGCGTTATGGAAAAATATCGGGGGTAGCATCTAGAAGCATCCAGCAGCATCCCGCCTTGTGTGACGCTACGCCGAGACGGGCTGTACAACTGCTTGTTCCTACAAACCCATAGCGTAAACCGGTGCACGAGGTAACACGCCAAGGTTTCCTACGATGCTAGTTGGTTGTTGTTGGAGGCAGCGCCAGACATTCCCATTGCCCGAAACGTCAGTGCTCAAATTGTAAACGTTGTGGATTTACTTTCCAACACGCCGGGTGAGCTTCAGTAGTCAACGAATTGGCACGTTTTGGTTACATGACAAAACCTTACTATCTGGCTGTGTCGGCTGGTGGCGGGTTTAGCAGACACATTTATATTTACGCGACCTAACCCAAAAATTACTTTAACCATGAATAATGTTGGGCACGAAAGCCTACTGCTACTAAATTCAATAAATCTAGGAGCAAAACTAGAAAAACAGTTGCGAGTAGCAACATCATCAATACCAGCTAACAACATCACACACCTCACCAAAGATAAGCAGTTCCAGCCCATCACATTAGGGGTGAGTTAATTAAATATTTGACCAAATATAACAGGCTAATTTTTAAGTTGAAAATTTTGTATGGCCCGCGAATGATGTTATACATATCCAAATGGCCCTTGGCAGAACAAAGGTTCCCCAACCCGTGTTAAATTGACATTCCCCATTGCCCTGAGAGGCTCGGGAGACGATTGCGGCCCACTCACTTCTTGAGGAAGGCCGCGAGGGCCTTCACAAACTCCTGCTGGTTCACGTCCTTCACGGTGATGCCTGGCATCTGCAACGGGGCGCCAGCGATGGTGGTGGGGGTCGGGGTAACGGGGCCACAAAGACAGCACACATAGAGAGGGGACCGGCAGAGTTAGCATACAAGTCAGCTTCAGGGAGTTCTTATATATTTTTACATACAAGTTCTCGCGCGAAGAGGTTAAAAGGTGTGAACGGCCCTCCCTTCCCGAGCACAAATCGACACTAACCAAGGTGGGCACAGATCGGTTATTACTATTCAAGCAAGGTGATCGAATGGGTTATACGCATCGGGGGCAAGTGCTGGGATCTCGCCATGAACTTAAACCACCTCACGTCTCAGACGTGCGCTCAAGAGTTGTTTTATTACGTGTTACAAGCGCAATAGAAATACAAATTAAAGTTTAATTCATTAACAGTGTCGCAAAAGGCAAGATAAAAAGTCTAATGTAGCCAACAGAACGGTTACATTATCTACACGTTGCCACGTGTTCGCATCATCTACATCACCAAGCCTGCTTGCGATACGAAAACTAAAAATGCAAACCACCCAGACAGCCACAACTAAAAAAAACCCGCAATAAAGACATCAATAATTAAGACAATTAACATCCATAATACAGCTTTCTTTGGAGTTAGATCGCGTAAATGTGTCGTTGAACCTGCCACCGCCAATTCGTAAGGTTTGTCACGTAAACAGAATATGCCGATTCGTTACTAGTACAGCAACACCGGTGCGTTGGGAGAGTAAAGCCACATTTACAATCTGTCAAGAAGACAATTAGCCCATCACACAATATTAAAAACGTGTTTAAAATTCAAACAACCGCTCGTATTCAGAACGAGACGGGTTTTTTGCGAATGCAACCCGCCCCGGGGGCACCGATCCAATGCGCGCGAGCGGACGACGACGGCGGCCTCAGTGCCCCGAGGGCGAAAAGGCCTCAACAAAGCCTAACCAGGCCATAGCCCCCGTAGCAGTTAGGGAGGGGAGCACAAACCTTACACGCGATATTTTAACAATTTAAACAATCCTCGCCGAGGCGTTGGGCGAGTGACCGAGGCGCGACGCCGCTCGTCGCGGGGGCGATGATCGCAAGGTGGGAAGGAAAACGCGAAGATAACAGGAGAGGAGGCCGAGCTGACGACAAGACGAACCGTGATGGCGCGCGGTGCAAGAGGCGAGAGAGAGAGGGGGAGGGAGGCGCGGGGCTTCCCGGGCTCGCGGGCAAGGGGCGAGATCTCTCCCCCCCCACCCTCCTAAGATCTCGCGAGAGTATGGCGCACCTCGCCGCTCAAACCCCGCCCACAGCCTCTCTCACACTCGCGAGATCTCCTAACACTTTGCATATTTCTCTAGCCCCGCCCATTTACCCCTGGGCTACACCCATCTCAAACCTTAACGAAAGCTTTAAATCAAAATTTAAAACTTTATATACTTTTCATGCCTCAGCAGCTTTCCCACTATATTTTTTCACCTGATGACGATTGCTTGTGTTGCGATCGAAACGTCGTGATATTGTTATTATTTTTTCCATCTACGTGGCTTTACCGAAAGACCAAAGGGGCCGTCCACAAAGACGTCACGCCCCTAGGGGGTGGGGGGGGGTCAGACATTTGTGACGATGTGTGACGAGGGGGGGGGTTTGAGAAATGTGACGTCACATCAAAATGCGCAATTTAAATAAATATAGAATTATATTCTTAGATCTTTCGGTAAAGTCAGGTTGAAGGGAAACAATAAAAAAATATATAAAACAATAAAAATTCTCACGACGAATTTTTATTGTTATATATTTTATTATTTTATTGTTTCCCTTCAACGTGATTTAACCGAAAGAGCTAAGAATATGAATTACTGCAGTCACGAAAGCTTTAAATCAAAATATAGAATTGTTATAACAACACTAATTTTGATTTTCATTATTAACTATTTGATTATCTTAATTTACTAAGGTCACCTTTTATTTATTCCATGAAGGAGCATTTTGCTTCTCCGTGGGAGAATGGAGAAGCATACATTTTTTGAAAACATTTAATGATTGTTATTAAACATTTTGATTCTAATGATTCGACCAGGGCTTTTCATTCTGTGGAATGAATATATGATTGTTATAATTGTACTCTCCATTTTGCTTCGTTCTTCTACAAAGTTTAAAGTATTTTTCTTAATTATAATTACTTTTAATATTGTATAATTATAAGAACATTTCAATGTATTCTGAACATCTGCAGTTTTAGTTAGACGTAGAATATTTTCAAGTGAATTTTATGAAAAATTTCAGCTTTCCAACGCCTCCTTTTTAATGTTTTCTCCTACAACATCAGAGTGCAGCGCCACATTAAATACGCACTACAATGACAACAATAGTTTAAAGCGATTTGAAGCAGGTTTTATTTTAAAAACGTCAACATGGTTTTGGTGGGGGGGGGGGCAGAGCTTTGTGACGTCATATTTGAGGGGGGTCTGACGCTTTGTGACGCCGTGTGACGAGAGGGGGGTCAAATATCGTCCAAAGTCGCGTGACGTCATTTATGGACGGCCCCCAAAGAATGACTTCCTGGAGTCATGAAAGCTTTAAGTCAAGATTTACCACTATAGTTAAGCGGCCATCAAAGGGCGCTTATTGTATTTCTCACTATGGTCAAATGTATATTCACCGACGTCTAGTTATACAGGGTGCTTCAAAAAACATGTTAACACTTATACAGAACTATCGTTGTTTAATGGGAAAAAGAACGCATAATACTCCACTGTAACACGATAACAAACGTAATGTTGATCGTTTCTAAAAGTCAGTCTCCCCACTTGCTCGCCATCGTTGTCAACGCGTCCCTGGAATCTTCTCCAGGTGGTCTCCAGAGCCCAGAGGCACGAACATTTATTGTAGTGTTGTTGCACATTCTCCGAAATGTTCACATTTTTTTGAAGCACCCTGTATATTTCCCGTTATTGTTCAGGTCCGTTCACCGGTGCCGGTTGTAAATGTACAATAATGTATTTTCAACTACAGTTCAATGCATAGTTAACTCTCTTTCACTTTTGGACAGCGCATTTCCCAGTACGTTTCGGTGCAGCGGTACATTCATCCAGCAGTGGATTGATCATGACTGATCTGCAGAATTCCCGCGATATGGCGATTCAGTATTGGTTGATATTCAGTACCCTCAATACGAGTCACGTTGATCGTATCGTCTGTTTGATGCATGATCGTCATGCGGTCACTGTTGCTGTTTTGTATTTCATGAAAATGTTTCATGAATTAATTCCACAATAACCATTCTATTGCATTTTTAATACAAATTACATTAGTGCTTTGAAAGGCATGGCGACTGCATGTGCAATTTGTATTTTATTTTTCACTATCTTTCACTCGTATCGTTTCTTGCATTGTTTGCCGATGTAACTCGCTGACCCGCCCCTACTGGACATGAGTGAAAAAGAGCTTCATAGCTCATCGGATTCTTCCAGGATAAAGATTCTGGTAAAGTTATTTCTCACTGTATGCTGCGTTATTAGCGCGATATTGCCAGGTCCCCCTAGCAAAAGAGGTTCTTAACCTCAAGGAGATTTCTTTATACCTGGTTAAATAAAAGTGAAATTAAATCAAATGATAAACATGCGTTCAGAGTATTGGCTGCTATAAATTTCCACATGATAAGTAATCCACTTCGTTGAGCTATCATTTGTGGCCAGCTCGCATCTGAACCTTATTCCATAAGCCCCCGGCTCTCGCATAAACTGCGTTGTGACATCATTTTATGTATGTTGAAGGCGAACGGCACGGCAATCTATTCCCCTCGACGAGCTCTACGCGATGCGCTAATAAAAGTTAAATTTATTATGCGCATTCGTCATCGCTGAGCTTGGACGACATGACAACATAATGATCCGCGCCAGGTGAGTCGCGGCGTTTATGTGTGCGTTGGGACGGAGTCGCCAAAAATAAATGACGATTTTGACTTCCGTTTATTCGGGACCCCGCCATAAGGTTCATCTGAAAAATAGCTCTATCGGCTCAGTGGGCCTTACCTAGGAAAATAAAAGTTGATAAAATTCACGAGCTTATGTTGAGCGAACTCCAGTTGAATACCTTTTTGGTTAAACATTATTTGTGCCTTAAATCCATCATAGCATAAAAACAAGACGGTAACATGTAGAATATGCGAAATGCCACGACACGATAATCGTCATATCGTGATATTTAATTAATCGTACCGTGAAATTTACATCGTGGCAACACCGTACATGCCACCCGATTATATTTCAGAGCAAATGACCTTCATATTCCAGAGTACTATTTCCTAGCAACTGTGCTTAAGTTCCCATTAACCAGTCACAATCCATATTTTCTATACTCCGTTAAATATGTACCCAAGAAAATAGCAACATTGACTCGTCTAGCATCTAGATGGTGCGGTTAATCGACAGAGCAGAATAGTATTTTCTATATGGAATGTGATGAATTGAGAATTATGCCCTGCCAAACGTGTTTGCATGGTAACATTAACAAGTCTATTATATCCTGTAGAAGTCCCTTTCCGAGTTGAATTATATTTATGATTGCACTAACAGACCAAGCCCTTGCTCAATTGCATGCAGAATAACTGTAATCAATGCAGTCCTTTTTCATTAACCATAACATAGCCCACACTTCTGGGAGTCTGAACCAATATTATCAAATATGCAAACACATTCAGGCTTAAAATTTTCGTGACTCCACGAATTCATATTCTTGGTTCTTTCGGTAAAGTCACATAAATAGAAAACAAAAAATAAAAAAATAACAATTTATTATTTGAAAATTGTTATTTTTTGTTTTGTTTTCAAATAATAAATTGTTATTACTTTAATTTTTTTTGTTTTTGTTTTCTATTTACGTGACTTTACCGAAAGAACCAAGAATATGAATTCCTGCAGACACGAAAGTTTTAAGCCTGAATGTGTTTGCATATTTGATATTGGTTCAGACTCCCAGAAGTGTGGGCTATGTTATGGTTAATGAAAAAGGACTGCATTGATTACAGTTATTCTGCATGCAATTGAGCAAGGGCTTGGTCTGTTAGTGCAATCATAAATATAATTCAACTCGGAAAGGGACTTCTACAGGATATAATAGACTTGTTAATGTTACCAAGCAAACACGTTTGGCAGGGCATAATTCTCAATTCATCGCATTCCATTCAGAAAATACTATTCTGCTCTGTTGATTAACCGCACCATCTAGATGCTAGACGAGTCAATGTTGCAAGAATATGCAAACACATTTTACCCAGACAGCTAAACATTAGCGTCTGTACAGATTTCCCTCACTGTATGCAGGGTCGGTTTATGCGATTTCGCATAGACGTGGCTAATCTATTTCGACGACAAATTCGCTGCATGCGGTTTGAATTCACTAATATGTGGCTATGCAGTCGGGCGGGGGACAATATTGCTTGTGTACTGTGTGCGCTACTTGGCAGGCAGATAGTTGTCCGGTCTGGTGCATTGTGGGTTGGATGACTGTCTGGACTATGCTTGCCGGTTTTGCTTTGTGTGCCCTTGCTTTTCAACGCACCACTCGCATAAACTGCACTGCTAATTGCATACTTCTGAGAATTGATTGCATGTTAGAAAGTGTTACATAATCCACGCAAAATTGTAATTTTACGCATTTAGCAATGCTGTCGCTGTCTTCCTGATATGAGCAGATTGGTTCTGAAGCGGCGGTCATGTCTCAGGTGGTTGTTGTCGTGGCAACGGGCAAAGACACGGTGAGCGTCCGTGTTCTGGCCGAGAACTTGGCGGACCCAGCAACGTCAACAATTGGTCGAGAGAAGGCTACGTGCAAGCGGCATTTTCCTGGCACCTCCAGTAGCAGGTCGTCCTAACGTGCATCCCAAAAACACAGCCAACGCAAACGATCATTACTATACAATTACAATGTGAATATATATAGCATCTGAAATAAACCACATATAAATATGCTGTAATGAAATATGCAATACGTTATTTGTTATTTATACTGCACTGCCTATATTGACCAGCAGCGCATCACATTATTGTATTAGAAATAGTGGGCATATTTATCTTATAAAGAAGCTGCCACTCATAGACACCCCATACACATAAGCAGAGACACGCAGACTTAAGAGATCCATAGATTGACATACAAGAGACCCAAAAACTCGAAGACTTACAACATGAACCTATCGACTTGCATACAGTGCAATGGGAGAGAATTGTGAAATTATACGTCAGGTGCTCACAAAGCTGATGCCAAGGTTGCAGTCGTTGATGGTGGTGACATCCGGGAGGGAGACGGTCACTATGTATCGAGGAGCACAGTCTTCGCTTTCCTCCAGACGCACAGTGTGCTTGGGTTCCTTCAGAGACATCATGGGCAGGAATCAAAAAGTCATGCATGCGTACACAAACATACCCTAACTCACTCGCACACAAAACGGCAAAACACGCATCAAAATATCGCAGATAAATGCGTGACGATCGCTATTACTGCTATCAGAACGAGATGGCGCACGCGAGCCTCACGCCAAGCTCTTGGTCACCTGCAGCCTTTCCTTCGCAAGACCGGCTTCCGTGCAATCAATCGGCGTGGGTTCTGGCCTCTCCGGCGGAGATGTGGGCAGTTCCTCAATCAGCAGTTTCCCATGGTTCCTCCTCTTACATGCGGGCGAAGCGGTGAGCTTCAGTGCCAACCGGGAGCCGTCCTCGCCGTCGCTGATGCCCTCCTCATCTTCACCACGCGGTCGCGTGAGAATCGTAGCTGGAGTTGTCCCACGCGGGGCTGCGATTGTCCGGAGCTTCTCGACGGCTGGTTGCCGGGGATCTGGTATGGCTGCGGAGGAAGGGATGCTAGCTCCTTTCAGCTGGTGCTGGATGAAAGTTTTGTAGGTGGTGGGGTCAGAGATGGCTAGCTCATCCAGTGCTCCCCAAATTTGTTCCGCCTGGCGCATCAGTCCCTTGTCCATTCTTGTGAGGGGCAATCGACTGCAATGTATGATTATCATCATTAAACAAAGTATTGGCAGTGGTGCACAAGAAAAAATGTACGAATGTGTTGCGTTTGTATTTCATCATCTCAATAAACAGCATCATCATAAACAACAAGTTTTGAATGACTTCATTTCAATCTGCATCACTATCGTTATCATAATCTTGAACATTATTAAACAGGGTAGCCCAGATGTCTTGTGACCCCCATTTGATTCTCTAAAGTTTTTTTTTAAGTAAGGTGTATTTAAACATCTGGACCACCCGGTACAATTGTTTTAGGGTGTTTTTTGTTCATGTTTGTTTTTGCTGTAACCAGGTTTCTACGCTGTAACCAGGTCCCCATCGAAAAGAAGCAGTTATTGCCCAAGTGGTTTTACCTGAACCAAAATAAAGACTTAAAAGTATCATTACTAACATCACCGTCAGAAGTGTCACTGAAACGATCACCACCACCACAACCACCATCGTCACCTCCACCATCAACACCCACATTACCATTGTGTTCACAATTAGAAAAAACGTCCAAGTACGACTTCCTCGCAACATACCTTTGCAAGGGTAGCTCGTGGAACGGTTGCGATTAAAATTATTTACCTCACACAATAAGCGTAACTTAAATTACATTTTAAACAACCGAAAGTGTGTAAAACAAGCCAAAATAAACATTAACTGCGAAATGCACTGTATATGAAAGGTGTAAACTAAGCATTCATAACTGTATCTCCTTTAATTCATACTGTTTTAAGAGTATTGCACGGTACAATACTGTGCTGTATATTACTACAACAGAGACAAACAAAGATCCCCCGTATATCTTCTTTGGTTCTTTCGGTAAGGTCACGTAGAATGAGAATAAAATAATAAAATAACACAAAAATTCTGGTTTGATGTGTTATTTTATTATTTTATTCTCATTCTACGTGACCTTACCGAAAGAACCAAAGAAGTTGAATCCTTGCAGTCACGAAAGCTTTAAATCGAAATCCCCCGTATAGCCTGGACAGACTGTTGGGGCAAGTTCTGTGGCACACGAGGGGGTGGGTGGCCAGCACCACGCCCGGCCGCCTTTGTCTCCCCAGTGGCGATGTTTTTACACACCGCACCAGGTACTCATTTGAGGCTGAGTCGACCTAGGGGAGGCCCAGGACCGGTTCAGATAATCGTCACCGATTGTTTGCCATGAGCGGGGATCGAAACTCGGGTTAACTGGGTTCGTAGCGCAACGTAGCGCTAACTGCTACACCACCGTTACGAATCAATGACCGGCACTCAAAACACCGCCGCTTCGACAAACGTCCCGTAACAAAGCGCGCGCTGTTTAATCTTTTTATTTTTACTCGAAATCTTAACTCGCAACGCCGAAACAGCCTCACAAATGACGACAGACCTTCAATGGCGTCTCTCGGGTGGCTCCGTCTCCATGGCGACCCGCGCGCGTGCCCTTTGACCTCCCCGCCCACCCCGCTGCAACTTTCACCCCAGACCCCCCCCCGTCGCTTCCTCTTTGACCCCCACCTCTTCCGCGTGCCCTTTAACCCCACGGTCCACGCTTCCTCTTTCAACCCCGCCCGCCCGCCGCATCACGTGACGTGACGTCACTACAGCGAGTCGCCTTGAGTGGTACAGTAGAGTACTGTAGTCGTCGTTCGCTCCCCCCCTCTCCCTCCTCCTGTTATATTCTGAATCAAGATTCCGTTGTAGTTTTACGAATGTAATAAACAAGCACGTCAAATTATTTAAAGAGCCACTGTCGGCACGCGTGGGCAAGAGCGAGTGGCGGCGTCCGTTCGGAACACCCGTAAGGTTGGTACTAGGCGGAACGATACACACACACTCACTCCGGCCTTCGTTTACTTGGAAAATCAACTACTGTACTACCATCGCTTTACAAACAACAACAACACTTGATTATTTGTCAATAAACCTCGCCGTTGGTTTATGTATCTTGCCATCTGTGGTTGACCAAGCATCGCTATCGCCATGAACATTAATGTTATTCATAATAAAGGTTTTTTGGGTTAGATCGCGTTATTTATAAATGTGTCGTAACCCTCCACCACCCGACACGGCCAATCAGCAAAAAAAGTGTCACGTTGACAAAAGACAAATAATTCACTACTTTAGCCCACCGGTGTGTTGTTGAAGAGTGGTGGAGGGTTACGACACATTTATAAATAACGCGATCTAACCCAAAAACCTTTATTATGAATAATATTGGTCGCGAAAGCCTACGTGTTAAACTAACGTTAATATTCTCACGGGACTTGTTACACGCTTTCATTGAACGCACTCTGTTGTTGTCGTTGTTGTCGTCATTGTTGTCATTGTCGTTGTATCCTCAAATCTTGTAACTCAATGTTAACCCACTTCCCAATGTGGTATCGACTGCAAACTTGGTATACTTATGTCATAGTGATGACAATACAATACTATATCAATAAAAATTAAAAATATATTTTGAAGCAATCTTTTATATATGTTATGTTACGGTTTGGGTCTAATTGCCCACGCTCAACTCACGTTGGCTGTAATTGGCCACGGTCCCCTTACGTTGTGGCGAGCTTCGGGGCCACTTCCTGGAGTCGTGGAGTTCTTCCATAAGTAGCACGGTACATTTCATTAAAGCGTGTTTAAAAACAAGTGTTTTTATTTTGACATGACTTATTTTTGTTGTTGTTGTTGTTGCCAGTATCAAAGTATGAAAAATGAGAAGACGTTTTACCTTTTCTGGCAATGATATAGCTGCTCACCCCGAGCTATAAATGGCCTGATCGTGGCATTGTCTCTGTACTGTTCGCCTTTTTGCGTTCTCTTGTCTGACACCGGTGAGACTGGGCCCTAAAGAAGGCTCTGGTGTAGGCCAATGAACTTCAAAGACAATGCCCATATATCATCATGTTTGGTTTGCATGTTCACCACAAGTTCTTGAGGTTAATGCAGACTTGGTGCCTTGCAAAATGTTTCAAATTGGTGTTTGAACATCCTAGCACACCTGTTTTATTGCCAGAAAGGGTACAAACCAATTTTTTCTATTTTGATACTGGCAAAAAAGGTCCCATTTTGTAGCAGTTCACTCCGAGCTACAAATGGCCTGATAGTGGCATTGTCTTTGTACTGTTCGCATTTTGGCGTCCTCTTGTCTGACACTGGTGAGACTGGGCCCTAAAGAAGGCTACTGTCTATGGTGGAGGCCAATCAGTTTCAAAGACAATGCACAAATATTTTCAGAGCATGTTTTTGTTTGCATGTTCACCACAGGTACTGTGTGTAGTTAAAGCAGACTTGATACCTTGAAAAAGGTATTCATTTGGTGTTTGACCATCTTAACACCTGTTTTATTGCCAGAAAAGGGTAAAAACCTCTTCTTATTTTCTTTCATGTATAGTGACGTTACGTGGCACAACGAACTGCTGCTGCTACTACAATAAACTCGTCTCGTCAGTCGGCACCAGAGGGTAACGTGTGTACTTTAACAAGCAAGGCCCTTGGGTCAATCCCCTGCTGGATGACGATTTCACCACTCCGCGTCACTCACACGGGTCTTTAACCGTACTTCACCACGCTGGTCCAGTGCGGCTTGGCGATTTGGGAGGCCTCGGACCGGCTCTAGCCGTCTAATCACTTGCCACTGATCTTGGACGTGGCCGGGAATCCATACCGGGGTCCAACAGCGCAGTGGTCTAATCACTGGTTACCACCGCTCCATCCGCGACACAATCCTTAACAGCTGCTGTGCCATCGGGATTCTCGTGAACAGCTTCATGAAGCGTCAACATGACTACGTACGGCGCGAAAGAAATTCAGCACGCACAGCTCCAGTGGCGTCCTAATATCGGAAGGAAGAGCGTTCCAGACGGCCGCAGAAACACACCTGAAAGTGCACGATGCAGTGACCGTCTTTGGTCGATGGCTGAGCCAATACCCACTGCTGCGAGTATGTCCGGAGTTTGAGTGATAGTTTATGCTTCTTGACAGAGACCGACAAGGTATTATTGGTTCATTTGTGGCGAGGACTTTGTGTGTAATGAGTGCTACCTTATAAAGGTCCTGTTCCTTTATGCCTGCCCCCACCGCCCCGCGTCTTTATGCTCCCCACCTTGACAAATCCACACTGGATCAGCTTGAAGCGTTGCCAAAACAACCCTCGTGACCCGCATGGAGTGTGGAGGAACTCATCCAGCATTCGATTGACAAGGAGGCTGTACATGTACATTTGAAAGGGTCTAGAGTATTTTTTTTTAATAGACTAGAGCAATGGGCTCTTGGTCATTAATAGAGGTATCCATGTCTCGGTGTCTATACATTAATGAATCGCACTGTTACACAAGGTTCCTCTCTAAAAAGTCTGAGATTTGTAACACGTGTAAAACATATTTCGTTTCTTTAATCTTTGCAAAGAGTACATTTTTGTTTTTAAATGTAACCCGTCAATAAACCGTCTCTGATATCCGCCCGATTTAGGTACTTGGTGAACAGTTTGGCCAAATTCAAACTATTCCAAACTAACAAAAATAACTGGCTGCATTGGCACCTGCTGTAATGTACAACAAACGTGTGCTTCTCTTTTTACATCCATTGATAGATCAGGGCCTCCTACTGTCGTGTACATTCCGTGGGTTATTTCAGGGGTCCCCCAACCCCCGGGCCGCGGACCGGTACCGGTCCGTGGCCTGTTAGGAACCGGGCCGCACAGCAGCAGGTGAGAGCGGTGAGTCCGAGCATGGCCCGCGCCCCATTATTTTATTATTTACCACTTGCGTCCGCGCCTCTTTCCCGCACTGCGCACTTGTCTCAGTCACAGTGTTGGTAAGCCCACAAGCTAACCCTAGCAGCCAAAACGAGTAAAACATAAACGTTGCTGGAGAGCTTCTTTGAAAAGGGGGATAGACCCAATGATGACCCCCCCCCCGGTCCGTGAAAAAATTGTCTTCCACGAAACCGGTCCCTGGTGCCAAAAAGGTTGGGGACCGCTGGGTTATTTCACCAAACTGCACCACACTGGTCAATGTGGGTCGGTGAAGTAGGCGAGCCCAGCGGCATTTCAGATCTAACTCGCCAGTGGTGTTAGCCGTGGCTGGCAATCGAACTCGGGTTGGTCGGGTTCACGTCTCCGTGCGCGAACCACTTGTACCACCCACCACTTGAGTTGTATTCGTTTCCCGACACAGTATTCACATCCAACACACGTCGGTTACAGATGAACTCCAAACAGCAGAGGGCGTACTGCCTACATCACTTCTTGTACACCTCCACAAGCGTGCGCAGACTTTCAATTAGCCCTTGAATTTCGCCTGCGCAGCACTTTGTACAGCACGGATCATCATTTAGTGGGTGCGAGGTTTTTCTAATCCTCAGTGCTGGCAGTGAGCATTTTATCTTCCCCCCCAGTGTTACTTATTTTCCTGGAACATGCCTAAATAGCGATGGTGGCCAATGTTCGAGACCGGTGATGGATTGCAAAGGAGATAATGCATCCAAGAAGACGACCACCGTGGAGATAAAGCGATGAGATCCGTTCATGTGCAGGAGTCGCAATCAGAATCTTTAATTCATCCTGGAGAAATCCGATGAGCTGTGAAGCTCTTTTTTCACAGACGTCCAATTTGGATGGGTTAGAAAGATACAACGTCAAAGAATTAAAAAAACTATAGGAGTGCAAAGTATAGGAAAGGTTTAGTGAAGTGAGATTGATGGGAGCAAAACAGGATTGCGAGGGATAGCAACGGCTTGGGGATGCCCTAATCCAGCAGTGGATAGACAGTGGTGTTTGGGTTATAATGTTGGATCATCGAGCCGTCAACTAAAATAAGTTCTTGCAATCACGATGCACTCTTTGAATTGTGAGTGTTGATTAAGATTAAATCAAATGAACACAACGGACACATTTGCAGGTAGCGTAACAATGCATGTATTCATTTGTTTGGTTCTTACATCCCCAAATACAGCAAAATATAATTGATTAAATCAGAGCATGACCCCAAATCGTGACCACTCAGAATCGCTTGAAGACAATGTAATTGCCCTGCGCGGAGCCACATGAAGTTATTCAGTCAGAAAATGTCAAAAGGTCAATGCTAAAGATCTAAACACATCTCGCTACTCCTACGATTACAAGAAGCAGTCCCGTGGTAGAGTTGGCACATAGGCTGGCACACCACAAATGCTGAATTTATCACCGTGGATTTTGCGATTATGCTTCTGAGTAGGGCATGAGACACTGCGAGGCTAAATGCTTCTTCGCGATGCTTTATATATCTGTTCCATAATTTACAGAAGGTGATGGTCGTTCGATATTTTATTTCCAGACACAAGTATTTATGTGTATGTGTTTATGCATGCACTCATTTACGTGTGCGTTTTTATTGTGCGAAGTGGTATAGCAGTAGTTTGCACACTGCGCTAGAGTCCCTGAAACCTCGCTTCAGTTAGCATCCATTCTAACATAAATAACATCAAGTGGTGTCTAAACCGGTCATGGGACTTTTTTAGGTCAACTCAGCCTCACGCAAGTACCTGTTGCAAAGTGTAAAACATCACCAATCGGGAGAGCGAGGGGGCCGGGCGTGGTGCTAGCTTAACAACCCCCCCCCATGTGCCGTGTAGCCCTTGGCAGGCGCTCTCTAACAGTGCTTGCCCCAACAGTCTGTCAAGGCTGCAGGAAACTCCTTGTCTTTGTGTTGTGTGTACATTGTCCTTGCCTGCGTGCGTGTAAGCAGATCTCAGGATGTCTCGCCTGCCGTGCATTGACAAGCGTCTGCTGAGGAACGTAATCCGGCACACGGACGCCCACAACAAGGTAATGCAGCAGCAGCAGCAGTCGCAGCAGCGATCGATGGGAGGGTGGAGGGGGGTAGGCTGTGGAGGGGGTATGCCAGGGGACGTGGGGACCCTCTGGCAATTGCTCCTCAGGGATTGTGTTATCCTGCTGCATGGCAAGGGTGGAGGATAAGCAGCTTGGAGAGTAATTGATAATTATTCTAACGTCTGGGGGTGGAGTGATTGGTGCAGTGGTCAAGGCACTGCACCGTGTCGGTGGCGAGTAAACATCTGAAACGGTTCCCAGGCATCCTTCCCATCACTTGATCATAGTTGTCAACCCATACGGTTTACCCGTATTCTTGTACAGGGAAATTGAGTTTTCAGTTTCATATGACATACAGCCGTTTCAATACGGGCAAAAAATATAATAATACGGTAAAAAAAAAAAATCGTGGGATAGATTTTTTTTTTTTACTCTGGAGAGTCGCGATCCCCGTAGCAGCCGACAAATTTGATCCGGAATGAAGACGCTCTCGGTACAGATCATGCGCAAGGCTACACTTCCACATCCAATTTGCCAAACAAGCCACGCCACAGCACAGCGACACTGGCGGCGTTGTCTCCTGCGGCGAAGAAAGCGACATTAGCGATGCCGACAGGCAGACATTTGAAAGAGTGGGAGAGGCCGACCTATGCTCAAGGGCAGTACGCAGGATGGGTGCGGTCATTTGTTTGTGTATCTCCCTTGTGATGGGACTTTGTAGGATGAACGTTGAGATGTATAAGGGCATGGGGTGACTTATAAGGTCTGAATTTGTCTGTAATACGGTAGACACTGATAAGGGGTTGACAGGTGTGCGTCAAACAGACCCAGTGACGAACGGAGCGTTGAGCGGCAATTATCCGGCGGTGATTATACAACGTTCTGTAATTTTTCTGATAATTTGCAGTGCTTTGTTAATTTGTGTCGGTCATGGGTCAGTACAGGTTTGTGATGAGGTGGTGGACAGCAGGGATTATTCAGATATTACTCACCACCGTTGTTCACTGTGACCGGGAATTTAAATGAATAGTTTGGTACACTAACGACTGGGCTATGACTCCACCCTGATAATAATCATGCCCTTTATTTACCCAGAAAAAAAAACCTCAATGTGTTTGATGACTGCTTCAAGATTATTATGGTGTTTGACCAGTTCCATTGATGAGCATGTGGGAGGAAAGCGGAGTACCTGGAGAAAACCCACCACGAACAAAAGGGGGGTGGGGGGGGTTACACTCAAAGCTCCACACAGATAGGTTCATAGCTCATCGGATTTCTCCAGGATAAATGCATATTCTGGCTCTAAATAAAGGTTCAACAATCCATTGCTCTGCACCCATTTCCTGGCCGCTTGACAGCCTGAGCCTACATTTCCAGCGACTATTCCCAAGCAGTCTTCCATCCGGCCACTCAGCCGGCTCACGCCTGCCTAGCTTTCCGAGATCGAGCGCATTCACGGAGCGATTTGGTTGTGGGAAAGAGGTCGGGGAGGGGGAGGGGAGCGATGGCGGCAGGGGTAGCGGCGGCAGTGACGTCTGCCGATGTCAGGGCTCGGGAATGATGCAACACAAGAAAATAAATCAAGCGTCTTCCACGCAGGCCAAGCGTGGCGTCCTTAGAGGCAGCAGAGCCACACCAGGTCACGGCGTCGGGGGCATTTGTGTGGAATTATTAATTTTGGGGGGCAGGGTGGCATGGCGGAAATGCTCGTGCGTCGCAGCAAGCAGGGCCTGGGTTCGATTCCTGACTTGGATGCTTTTCTGTGTGGAGTTTGTATGTTCTCTCCCCTGTTCTGCGTGGAGTTTTATGTTCTCCCCCCTATTCTGCGTGGAGTTTTATGTTCTCCCCCCTGTTCTGCGTGGAGTTTGTATGTTCTACCCCCTGTTCTGCGTGGAGTTTGTATGTTCTCCCCCCTGTTCTGCGTGGAGTTTGTATGTTCTCCCCCCTGTTCTGCGTGGAGTTTTATGTTCTCCCCCCTGTTCTGTGTGGAGTTTGTATGTTCTCCCCCCTGTTCTGCGTGGAGTTTGTATGTTCTCCCCCCTGTTCTGTGTGGAGTTTGTATGTTCTCTCCCCTGTTCTGTGTGGAGTTTGTATGTTCTCTCCCCTGTTCTGTGTGGAGTTTGTATGTTCTCCCCCCTGTTCTGTGTGGAGTTTGTATGTTCTCCCCCCTGTTCTGCGTGGAGTTTTATGTTCTCCCCCCTGTTCTGCGTGGAGTTTGTATGTTCTCCCCCCTGTTCTGTGTGGAGTTTGTATGTTCTCCCCCCTGTTCTGTGTGGAGTTTGTATGTTCTGTGTGGAGTTTTATGTTCTCCCCTCTGTTCTGCGTGGAGTTTGTATGTTCACCCTCTGTTCTGCGTGGAGTTTGTATGTTCTCTCCCCTGTTCTGCGTGGAGTTTGTATGTTCTCCCCCCTGTTCTGTGTGGAGTTTGTATGTTCTCTCCCTTGTTCTGCGTGGAGTTTGTATGTTCTCTCCCCTGTTCTGTGTGGAGTTTGTGTGTTCACCCCCCTGTTCTGCGTGGAGTTTGTATGTTCTCCCCCCTGTTCTGCGTGGAGTTTTATGTTCTCCCCCCTGTTCTGTGTGGAGTTTGTATGTTCTCCCCCCTGTTCTGTGTGGAGTTTGTATGTTCTCCCCCCTGTTCTGTGTGGAGTTTGTATGTTCTCTCCCCTGTTCTGTGTGGAGTTTGTATGTTCACCCCCTGTTCTGCGTGGAGTTTGTATGTTCTCTCCCCTGTTCTGTGTGGAGTTTGTATGTTCTCCCCCCTGTTCTGTGTGGAGTTTTATGTTCTCCCCCCTGTTCTGTGTGGAGTTTGTATGTTCTCCCCCCTGTTCTGCGTGGAGTTTGTATGTTCTCTCCCCTGTTCTGTGTGGAGTTTGTATGTTCTCTCCCCTGTTCTGTGTGGAGTTTGTATGTTCTCTCCCCTGTTCTGCGTGGAGTTTGTATGTTCTCTCCCCTGTTCTGCGTGGAGTTTGTATGTTCTCCCCCCTGTTCTGCGTGGAGTTTGTATGTTCTCCCCCCTGTTCTGTGTGGAGTTTGTATGTTCTCTCCCCTGTTCTGTGTGGAGTTTGTATGTTCACCCCCCTGTTCTGCGTGGAGTTTGTATGTTCTCTCCCCTGTTCTGTGTGGAGTTTGTATGTTCTCCCCCCTGTTCTGTGTGGAGTTTTATGTTCTCCCCCCAGTTCTGTGTGGAGTTTGTATGTTCTCTCCCCTGTTCTGTGTGGAGTTTGTATGTTCTACCCCCTGTTCTGCGTGGAGTTTGTATGTTCTCCCCCCTGTTCTGCGTGGAGTTTGTATGTTCTCCCCCCTGTTCTGCGTGGAGTTTGTATGTTCTCTCCCCTGTTCTGTGTGGAGTTTGTATGTTCTCTCCCCTGTTCTGCGTGGAGTTTGTATGTTCTCTCCCCTGTTCTGCGTGGAGTTTGTATGTTCTCTCCCCTGTTCTGCGTGGAGTTTGTATGTTCTCCCCCCTGTTCTGTGTGGAGTTTGTATGTTCTCTCTCCTGTTCTGCGTGGAGTTTGTATGTTCTCCCTCTGTTCTGCGTGGAGTTTGTATGTTCTCCCCCCTGTTCTGTGTGGAGTTTGTATGTTCACCCCCCTGTTCTGCGTGGAGTTTGTATGTTCTCTCCCTTGTTCTGTGTGGAGTTTGTATTTCACCCTCTGTTCTGTGTGGAGTTTGTATGTTCTCCCCCTTGTTCTGTGTGGAGTTTGTATGTTCTCCCCCCTGTTCTGTGTGGAGTTTGTATGTTCAACCCCCTGTTGTGCGTGGAGTTTGTATGTTCTCTCCCCTGTTCTGTGTGGGTTGCCCCTTGCTTCTACAGTTTCTTCCCATAGCTAAAAACTAAAATCAATGGAACTGTAATTGCCAAACATCCCAATGCTGAAAATTACCTTATAAATGACTCAATTAGAATTGCACGTTAGCAACATCGCCAAGTCCTGATATATTTTTAATACTTGAATGATGAATCTTGACTTAACGCTTTCGTGACTGCAGGAATTCCTATTCTTTGGGTCTTTCAGTAAAGTCACATAGTGTTGAAATCGAAACGTCATAGTTTTTTTGTTGTTTTTTGTTATTTCCTTTGAACCTATCTACGTGACTTTACCGAAAGACCCAGAGGACTTGAATGATGCTTTGCTGGATAAACAAGGGGTGCCATGTGGATCAGAGGAAGCTTCAATCCCTCGTGATCTCCGATCAGAATGAAACAGGTTTGGTGAGCCGTGCAGATGGATGTAGCAAATTGAGATCTGAAAGGAAAAAGAGACTGGAATTTTCATAGGGGGTGAGACCGATTTCAGATGCGAGACAGTGGAATGATGCTCATTCAGCCCTGGCGTCACTGTTGAGCAGCCAGAATGGAAATGCCAGGCGGTAGTGGCTATCTACGTGGCCTGTAATCCAGCACTGGGGGTGAGGGTCGGGTGGTTCACATAACTGTTGTGAAACTCCCTTCCCGTGTTCGTAGAGGTGCCATACCCTGGCTCGACAGCAGATGGCAGTAGAGCAAGTGGAGACATCGCCATCTGTTTCCTGCTGTATAGGCATAGAGTGTCACCCACTGATGTGTGCGGGTTTTCTCCGGGTGCTCCTGTTTCCTCCCACGTGTATAAAAACTCATAATTGATCGGCTGAAAACATCTTAAAATAAAAAAAAACATACAGTACAGGACCCTCTTGCAAAAGAGTCATTGTACTCGGTGTGGCTTTCCTGGATACATAATTATTAGAAGCGAAGAAGGGATTTTTTAGACGTGTTTTGCATGTCAGCGGAAACCAGAGTACCTTTCAGAATTCCCGCGCACAAGCAATAATATTCAGAGGCCTAAATGGAAAGGTTTGTAAACCCAATTGCTGTACTGCAATCTCCACCTCGCAGCCCCATCGGGTTTGAGAGTCTCACAGATCTCTGCGTGGTCCACCTCCCCGCGCCTCCAAAGTACCGGGGTCACAGGCGCACATAGCCACCACGCCTGGCTGTGAAAGAGCGTCCCAGTCCCAAGGCTTGAATCCAGAATCTCGGCCGTGATGACTCAGTACTTGGACACGGCCATTATGAGACCCCCCCCCCCCCCCCCCCCCCCCCCCCGATTGACCTGGCCACCTCGTAATGCCTGGGCGTGTGCCGCTCGGGCTACGTGACGATGCGTACGTGGCTTTTGCGCGTGTGTGCGTCCCTGCGCGTGCGTCTTGTGTGCGTGCGTGCGCGTATTCCAGATGCAGGAAGTGAGCATCATGTGGAAGCAGCGGCAGATGCAGACGTTCACCGAGGACGGCGGCGTCCGACGGAAACGGAGGCGCATGGCCTCTCCCGTCCTTGGAAGGTCGGCGGGGGGTGGTGGGTGGAGTGTGTGGATGGGGGGGGGGCGGGGGTTGGGAGGGCAGAGTGGCCGTGTCTAGGAGATGTTATCTCCCTCGCCTGGTATGCAGGAGGTTGTGGGTTCGATCCTGGCCCTGATGCCTCCGGTTTTGCCCTCCACATTTAGGAATCGACATGCGTTTAGATTATTTGGCTGCTATAAATGTCCACTTGGTAAGTAAGCCACTTAGTTGAGCTATCATTCGTGGCTAGGTTGCTTCTTAAATAGAGCTATATAGCTCAGTGGGCCTTACCTGGTAAAATTTAAAATAATGTGTAGTCAGCCTTACAGCGGAAAGTCACTCAAGGTCGTCAAACGTTACTCAATGATTTACTAAGTATTGAGCATCATAAACTGGCACAGGATTCTTAACACATACCTGGAATCACTTGTAAATTCTTGTCGCAGAAACTCGCGATGACAACATTTCGTTGCTAGGGAAACCGAAAAAGTTCGCTTAATCTCGTGACAAAACCACGAAGATTTCGCATTCTTTATTGAAATTACTCTGAGCAATTACAGGCGGTGGTGACTGGGAATGTGACTAGCTATCAACTCGCTACACCTTTGGGCAATTTCACTAAACACCCCACACAAGTGCATATTGCTCTCACGGTGTTGACATGGGAGGGTAAGTTGCTTGAAGAGCCCGGAGCCCCCTCTCGAGCGCCGGGCGGTGTGGACACTGCACACTGTGGCCACTCTCCCGAGAGCACGCTCGTTGTTTGCGCTGGACTTGTCGCACAGGTGGCTCGGGAACAAGAGTGCTGAGTCAGCACAGCGGGGGTTATGAATCCTGCTTTCGGGCGGCCGTGATTAAACCGGGTTTCCTGGTGTAGCGAGTTGATAGTCACAGGCCCATTCAACCCTGCATGTTAAAGTAACAAAAACATTTCTAAAAAAATCATCGTGAAATTTGAATTCACCATCGCCTCTGTCGATGTAATGTATCATTCGCTCGTTAAAGAAACGGCAAATGCGGCCTTGGCACCTGTATCAACGCTATTGATGTGGCCTTCATTAAAGGCGGGGGGGGGGGGGGGGGGGTAGGGGCGATGCATGACACAGTTTGTTTAAAAACATCTTTAAATAAAAAAGTATAGAAGGGGGGGCTTAGCCTTCAGCACGGAAGCTGAGCACTCGATTGTTCAGGATCCCTTTGAAGCCCCCTTATTGGCCAGGGTGGTGTATGAATTGACGCCGGTGATCGTGGCTGTGTATAAATTGAGGCGTGCGATTGTAACGGTTTATAAATCGCGGCTGTGCGAAAACGGGAAGCGGACACGGAAAGGCTCGACGATGGGATCGAGGCTGTGAGGCGGATCCCAACCCATGTCTGAGCCGCATCATTTAGAATGTGTCTTGTCACTCTGTGAGTCTGGCAACGAGCTTCCGACCTGCTCCGGGAGAGTCACTTTCTCCAACTTAGAGAGCCGCTTGTATTTTTTCCATGGTCACAAACGATGATGACGACGATGATGAAGACCCTGTAAGTTGAGCGATGTGAGGCAGCGTTCCCCAAGAGGATGCTCACCAGGGAGATGGAGCAATCTAGGGGTGCCGCGGTGGCAAAAGGTTAACTCCATCGCCATGGCGTGCAAGAGGTCGTGGGTTTGATCCCGACCCTGACGATGCCTGTTGTATAATTTGAGTTTGCGTGTTCTCCCCGTGGTAGCGTGGATTTTTCTCCGGGTCCTCCAACACAGTGAGAATCAACGTGCGCTTAAGAGAGTATTTGGCTGCTATAAATTTCTACGCGACGACATTCCACTTCATTGAGCGATCATTTGTGGGCAGGTCGCTTCTGAAAAATAACTATATAGTTCAATGGGCGTTACCTGGTTGAAATAAAAACAGTTTAGTAAAAAAAAATTCCTTTTGAAAAATAAAGAACCGCCTTCCCCCCCCCCCCGCAACCGTCGATCTGACGGAGCGACTCGCCGCCACGCGTTCCTCTCGTCCCCTGCAGAAGCCACATGCGGTGCGACGGCTACGACGACGACGACGAAGATGCGGCGGCGACGACGGCGACGACGGCGGCGGAGGCGAGCGACGATGGAAGAAGGTGGCGTCGGAGACTCCACGAGGCGGAGGCACCAAATCCCGACCGGTGAGAGGCGCCACGGTGGCTAGGAGATGTTAACTACCTCGCCTGGTATGCAGGAGGTTCGTGGGTTCGATCCCGACCCTGACGTTGCCTGTATGTATGTTTGGAGTTTACGGTGTCTCTCTCCCAGTGGTCGCGTGTATTTTTCTCCGGGTGCTCCGGTTTTTCCTTCCGCGTTTTGAATCGACATCACACGTTTAGAGCGTTTGGCCGCTGTAAATTTCCACACGATGATGAGCCACTTCGTTGGGCCATAATTTGTTGTTATGTCGCTTCTGAAAAAGAGTTTTATAGCTCGGTGGGCCTTACCTGGTGACCGCGTGGCATAATCGCTCGCCATGGCCGCGTCAGATACACCGAATTGGCGTAAATGCACATTTGTTCACTTGAATATTTATTCCACTCGGAACAGATAGACGGGGAATGTTTTATTTCCAAGAGGGGAAACAGATATTTGTTCCAACCAAGTCAACAGTTGTTTCACTACTTATCAGTACCTTCAAATTAGCGTTATACGTTAGGATCGGGCGCCTCGTTGATTCTCGACAAAGGTTGGGCCGAAGAGATGGCATGAAAAACTCAAACCATGCTGAAAGCAAACCGAGTCGCTGTTTCACAAATCAGTTGAGAAATGTTCTCAAAAATTCTATTTTATTTCGATTTAAAGCTTTCGTGACTGCAATGATTCATCTTCTTTGGTTCTTTCGGTAAAGTCACGTAGAATGAGAATAAAATAATAAATTGATAAAATAAAATAACAGAATATTATTGCGTTATTTTATTTTATCAATTTATTATTTTATTCTCATTCTACGTGACTTTACCGAAAGAACCAAGGAAGAATTATATTTTAGTTGAAAATTGCATGGAATTAGACTCGCATCCAAATAAAGCTTACTTAGTCACAGACAAATGCAACTGTAATTGCCAAACATGCTGTCGAAAAGCATGCTGTCAAGGTCATATCAAGGGTAACGCCCTCCGCCATTGATATATGGCAATCAAAGTGGGTGAGTGACATCATCCCGTGGGTGGTGTTGGCTCTCCACCATGCCTGTAATCCAGCACGAGGATTGGTGATTCACACTTATTGTTGCGCAAAATTCCCTTCCATGTGAGAATGTCACGATGCCAAACCTTGGCTTGCCAGGGGAAGGCCGTACAGCAAATCGTGTGGACTAATATCATCTGTGCCAGCTGTACGGGATAGAGCATTGCCCCCTCGCTAAGCGTGTGTTATCTGCGGGGTGATTCGGTTTCCTGCCACGCGTATAAGCGCTCAGAAATGCACTTTGTGAGATGAATGAGGCTTTTATGATTATCCTGAACAAGGAGATGCACTATTCACTGTGAAAATTCCAAACGGGAAGTCCCGTAATCTCGCGTACAGGATTCCGATCAGCGGCGCAACGAGTCCAACGTAATTGTGGCGTTAAAAACTTAAAAAAAAAAAAGATAAAAATAAATGTGTATATTAAAAACATAAATAAATACGGCAATCCCCATTTTCAGCATTTCCCAGAATCTGGGAGGAAAAAACACATTTATGAGTAGCGAGCCATGTGTCCCGAGAGACGCTTCCCCCAGCGATGTCCGTTGCCGTGCTCGCGATAAGCGGCATCGCAAATGGAGCGGCCGCAATTAAATATCCTCCGGCGTTTACCGGTCTTCGCGCTCATTACCGCGTCTGATCTCCCCCCCCCCCTCCCCCATCTCGTCGCTAATTGTGGGGGAGTTCCAGAGTTAGTTTTCTTTGTTCTTTCTTGCACGTTGAACGTTTTCTTTTTCCCCACCGCATCCCCCCTCCCCCGGTTCCTTCTCGCTGTTAAAAATGGAATTTTAATAAGCAAGCGCACACATTCGTCTTACTCTAACTGTTATTATTATGGTGGGGTTTAGCGGAGGCCATGATAACTGTCGCAAAGATGATGAAGGTTTAAAAGCTCAGTGGGCCTTACCTGCTATATAAAAAAAAATAGTTCATAGTTTAGTTTGTAGATCTTATTGGCGAAAAAACTGATGGAAATCTCTGCATGGTTGTACAGTCAGGGTTATTCAACATGAATTGCATTTTATTGCAATTAGGAAACATCTCCTTCTAGATGAAGGCTTATCCACGTTGTTGCCATCCTTCGCTGTTTTGTCCTTCCCCCGCACCTTCGATTAGCACGGTTGGCTACGTACGGTGCGACAGAAGTTCGACGCAAACACGTGCATTGCGATGCAGCGGTCCATCCAGCACCTGTGCACGAGCTGGTTGGAGGATGTCCCCTGCGCGGCGTGAGAGCGGCTTGGCTGTTTTTGCGTCAGCCGTCACGCGATGACCCGTGCCCTCTAACCTCTCACCCCACTGGCCCCTCCTCCTCTCCGGTAGGTGGGGACACGCTGGATTCTGGGAGCTCTACCCCAGCGATTACCGCCCACCGCTGTAAGTACGGCAGCCCAACCAGATTGTTGAGGCAAGTGCTATTAGCGAGCACCTGTTAAGGCCGGCATGGCTCGCGATGCGGATGTCTGGTCAGTACCATGCCCAGCCACCGTTGTCTCCCCAACGCCGATATGTAAACGCCGTACCAGGTGCTCTCACCTGTAGCAATGTTGGCACGAGTGTTGGTGGGGCAGGTGTGTGGCCACAGCTCCACGCCCGGCCGCCGTTGTCTCCCTCATGGCGATGTTCACACACCGCACCAGTTACAAAGTTAATTTGACGCCGAGTCGACCTAGGGGAGACCTGGGACCGATTCCGACATCTGCCGCTGATGTTGGCCGCGAGTGAGAATCGAACCCGGGTTCGTAGCGCGGCGGGTTAACCGCTGTGCCACAGCTCCCCACGCGGCACGCACACACACACACATACACACACACATACACACACACACACATACACACACACACACATACACACACACACACATACACACACACACACACGCGCGCATCGAGCGCTGCTGGCGTGGCACACCTTCAAGTCCACCACATCGCGGTGGCGTCATCTTCCTCCGGAGCCGCCGCGATTTCCCGCTGCCCCCTCTGCGTGAGCTGTGACTCGAAGTGCCTTCGCCTCGTGGCGACGTGACGCCGACAGTTGCGCCGGTTTCACGTAATTGCGAAACAAAAGGTAAAAGAGCAGCAAGGACGAGGCCGCGTTAATAACGACGACGACGGCGGCGGCGGCGACAGCGGCGACAGCGGCGGCGAGGTTATTCTTTGGGTGTCCCCGCTTGGTCACCAGCTCCACGCGCTCGTGAGCCCCCTCGTGAGCAGCCAGCCAGCGAGAGGCCACAGACACAATCGAGCCAACGAACCACTGTACGGCCTTAACCAAGGGCGAATCGAACACTGGTCGCCGGGTTCTTAGCGCAGTGAGCTAACCGCAGCGCCACCGTTCCACGCGCACGCACGCGCGCACATGTACGCGCGAGCATGAGTCAATTGCATGGAAACACAAGCAGGCAGGGACCCTGTGGAGTCCGCGGAGTTTGCTGTAATCATCCCTCTCCTGCGGGGAATCCAGCACCAAGCAATTAAACACAAGCACACACACAACAACAACAACAACCGCCATGCGCCACTAAGTGGTGGTGACGTCACCACGACGCTTGTGCCAAGCCATGTGCACCTTGAGGCAACGTGAAGTGTCGAACGCCCGCTGGCAGGAGGTCAGGGGGCAGACCCAAGTGCCACGGGTCGACTGACTAAGATGACTGAGATGGCTGGCTATTGCACCACCTGTGCCCCCTACTGTGCCAACTTGCTGTGCTTTAGCCACCCGGCGCTCCGCTCGTTGTGAGCGTCGCTCCTCCGCCCTCCGTTGTTGTTGGAGGGTGACTACCTCCAACTGCCCAGTAGCGTCCTTCACAAGCCTCCTCCACAGAGGCCGATCTTGACACCGCTGGTACCAGTCATCAGCAAGTCCACTCAGCTCCACGTCATCCTGTACCACATCACTCCATCTCTTCTCTAGCCCGTGCCTCGCCCGTTTAGCCTCCTCGATCCAGCCGAACAAAAGCTGTTTCGGCATGCGGTGGCTTGGCATGCGGGCTACATGACCCAGCCAACGCAGCCTTGCCTGCCAGAGGAGCTCACCGATGGGACCTTGCCCAGATCTTTCAAGGATTTGTGAGCTCCTTACACAGTCCAGCCTGGTTAAACCCAGGATGGATCGTAGGCAGGCCAGCCTAAATGTTTCTAACACACCGACATCCACACACACACACCCACATCCAAACACACACATCCACACACACCCACACATCGTTTGTAGTTATATATATTTGGATTTCTTTTTTACGTCCGTTAAACCATACCAATTATAAACCATAACCTTTGAAGCCATCCTCTATCGCAATCCATGCGGAATGTTATTTTATATCATTGTCTTGTCTGGCATGCGTGCCCAATGCACCTCATTACTCGTCAAGTTCAAAATTATTTTGAAAATTCGCTAAACGCCTTTTTAATAAGGCCAACTTCACAGACTCATCCTTCTTTAGAAGCGAAGCCTGCCTCCTATACGCACTGCACGAGTTTGCGCATTTCTGCTCCTAATTAAAGGAAAGTCATAAATAACCATTTAATGATGATTATGGTGATTGCTGTGTGTGTCCCTCGTGTGTGTGTGCGCGCGTGTGGCCTGGTATGTGCGGAGCGGCAGTGCAGCGTTTAGAGCGAAGCTGCGCTACGAACCCGGCGGCCCGAGTTCGATTCCCGCTCACGGCCAACACCAGTGATGATTATCTGAACCGGTCCTGGGCCTCCCCTAGGTCGACTCAGCCTCAAATGAGTACCAAAGGCGGACGAGCGTGGTGCTGGCCACCCACCCCCTCGTGTGCCGTGCCGGCCTTCATCGGTGCTCGCTAACAGCACTTGCCCCTACAGTCTGTTAAGGCTATACAGGGGATATTTGTCTTTGTGGCCTGGCATATAAAAATGTATATTTGTTAATTTGTGTGTGTGTACGTACATGTCATTGAACCTAAAACAACTGGGTCTGCCTTGCTTGTGACTTGCTTTCAGGGCGTCTTCGCCACTTCACCTGGCGTCAAAGCGCACCTAGCCTGGCACTGGCTGATGTTACATCACAGCCTCCTTGTGCGGAATGGCGGTTGCTGTGTGTTGTTGCACGTGTGTGCATTATTGTAGCACGGGTAGAGTTTCTCACGTGGCACGGTTGTGTTTGCGCTGATTTCTGTTTTGCTGCATCGATGTGCTTTTTGTTTTGCTTTTGTCACGTTGGTGACCCAGGTGAGTCTTGCAAATGAGACTCTCTCCTGGTCCCTCTGAGTTCTCATCCTGGTTACACAAATCCGCTGGAACTGGTATTGTGGGGAGCAACGTCAAACAAACCCCAGCGATCCTGGCCACGGCTGACATAAGTGCCGAGCGATATCTGAATCCGTCCTGGGCCCTCCCTAGATCGACTCGGCCTCTGATTCTTAGTCCTACCCGGTACGGTCTGTAAATGCCGGCAGCTGGTGGACAAAGCTGGGCGGGGCGTGATGCCGGTCACACCGACGCCACCACTGCGTGTGCCGTGCTGGCCTCAACATTCGCTCATTTGATATACACGTATTCATATATATATGTGTGTGCATGTACACACGAGTGTTTCTGTACGCACGTTCGCCGACGATGTGCAATAGCACGTCAATGCACTTGCGTGCATAGGATGCGCACATGCAGTGTGTTCTCACGCGCGCGGACTTTCTTCTCGTGCGCGTGTGTGTTGTGTGCACGCGCACGGGCAAAGTAACAAAAGGATAAAAGCAAGGAACGGTCCACTCCGGCACTTCTCGTCGTCATCGTCGTCATCCTCCTCGTCAACCTCCAATGAAGCGGCCGCGCGGCGCTGCGGTAGCGGCGAGAGACGGACTCGGAAGAAGAAGAAGCGCAAAGAGAAGCGCGGAGAGAAGCGACGACGCAAACGCAGGCGGAGCGCGGAGGAGCGCGGAGGAGACGGCGGCTGCGACGAACGCGAGGGCAGAGCGGAGCGCCGTCGCGAGCGCCGAGACAGACGCTCGGGCGAGCGGAGGGACGGCCGCAGCGACGACGGAGAGGGCGGCAAGAAGAAGAAGAAGAAGCGACGGCGGCGGCGGCTCGAGGGGGCCCGGCCTGGGGGTCACGACCCCTAGGGCTATTCCCTAAACTGTTGGGCAGTGGCGGGGTGCTTGACGCATCTGGCACGCGACTTGTTTTTCGCACTGCCCGCGGCCGCACGTCGAGGCCTACCCCCTGGCAAAGAGCCCGCAGAAGACTGAAACCGTTTACTTTTATTGAACGATTTTTATTTTGCCAGGTAAGACCGACCTGCTTTTTCAGAAGCGACCTGACCACAAATGAAAGCTCAACAAAGTGGCTTATCGCGTGGAAATTTACAGCAGCCAATTACTCTAAGCGCGTGATGTTGATTCTGAATTTGGAGGGGGAAGAAACCAGAGGACTCGGAGAAAAATACACGCGACGGCGGGAAGAGAGGGGGGAGACGCACGCACCCACACTCCAAATATGCAGCAGGCATTGGGGTCGGGATCGAACCCAGGCGAGGTAGTTAACATCTCGCCACATTTATCCGTCACCGGGAGCAACCTGGGAATATTTCTGATATGACCAACAATGGCGTGTCCAGAATTTACCCGTCGCTCCGTACTCGGTCGACGCGCTTGTTTTCGGTCGCGTTCTTGCAAAAACGCCTAAACGTTAACGTGCGGTTGTCCGCCAAAGGGTATTCGACTCGGCCCACGCGTCACTCGAAGCGTTTGTGAAATGAGTACCGCTTTGTGGAGAATTCAACGGTGTGTGTCTTATATGTGTTAAAAAGAAATGTCACCGCGCACCGCACGAACGTTTAATTTCCATCGCGGGCTCGGGGTGCCGTCAGAAAAACAAAAACGCGACTTCTAAAATCTTTCAGTGGCACACAGCGGGGGAGGGGGGGGGGGTCATCGTTTCTCAGACCGCCTCACCCCCTTTTCCCCAGCCGATGAGTGTTTTTGTTATCAACCGCAAAGTGCCTTGGGCGTTTCACCGTCATGGAGCAAGACAACCCCCCCCCCCCCCCCGAGCGGGTTGGAACTTTCTTACATTCGAGTCGTCATTACAGCCACTCGAGAGTCTTTCGGTGCTTGAGTGCGATGAATGGGTAAAAAATGTGTTCGTTTTTTTGGGTGGGTGAGTGCGGTTTTATACGCCTTGTACGTTTTTGTAAGTTAGTGACGTGTAAAAATAAAACAACAACAACGCTCGCCTTCGAATCCTGGTGTGCAGGGAGCGGATCTGTAAAGGATTAAGGAAAACTCGACAGGTTTGTTAATACTCTTTGGTTCTTTCGGTAAAGTGACGTAGGTTGAAAATAAAATAAAACAAAAAATTATATGTCACGACGTTTCGATCACAACACAAGCGGTCGTCCTCAGGCGGAAAAAATAATCCTGCAGTGCAACTGCTGAACCAGCGAGAGAGCAGTTACAACAAGAGGTTATATACGTGGCGATGGGCAAGCAAGCGGGGTCTGAGCTGGAAAGGAATTCCATCCCCGGATGCAAGCACGTCAGTTGTGTTAATGGGGAAGATTAGCATGAAATGAGCTTCCGTCGCCGCATAAGAGTATCATCCCCGCATATGCGTACAACAGCAGTGTTAATGGGAGATATTAGGCAGAGAGATTAGGGAGATTAGCAAGTTAATGTGATGTCTATGTGTAACACAAGCTGCTGCGGCGCTGCCAACTGCGCTGTGAGGCAAGCGCGTCCACGCAAAAGAACCATCGCAACGGTGGTCTCGCCAGTGAGACAGCCCATCACACAGCCAGAACCATCGATACATCGAGGCTAAGGGAGCAGAGGTGGCCATGTTCGTGAGACCCCAGCCCGTTAATGTTGAGGCACCCAACAGGGCAATGCAACTCAGAGAGTCGGAGATAACAGCCAAACGGCAGGGAAGAATGGAAGCACCACAGCAAGTTACGACATTGCTTGGTTAATAACGTCCTTCCAATGATTGCTCAGCTTATACCCATCTTTTCGGTTGAAAGTGTCTCTGTGTTGTTTATATATCTGGATGGCTTCATGGACAAATCTTTGATGGTAGCCTGAAGGTTTGCAGAGTACCTTGGTCTCAGAAAAAAACAATATCGTGCGAGCCCACTACGTTTTAACGATGTTCAGCCACTACAGAGGTATTGGTTCTGCCGTAATTCAAATCTGCCTTGTGTTCGCGAACACGGTCCTAGACATGTCATTTCGTTTCCCCAATGTAACTGCTGCCGCAGACACAACTTTATAGACACCAGGGTATTACATGTCAGGAATGACATCCTTCACAGATGGGATAAAATCACGGATTTTGTGTTCTGTCTCGTGTTTGTTTAAGATTTTGGAAATCTTTTTGGCAGCACCTGCTATGTATGGCAAGGTGATGCTTTTGATTGGGTCCTCAGATGGTTGTCTCCCCATGGTTGAGGTTACAGCTTTGCGGATTGTGCGGTCTGAGTATCCATTCATCTTGAGGGCTTGGTGTACGTGCTCCAGTTCACTGGCAAGGTGGCACTGGTCGGAGATGCAGTGGGCCCTATGGTGTAGTGTTTTGATGAGGGAGTTCTTCTGGGCCGGATGGTGGTGGGAGCCAGGCTTTAGATAGGAATCCGTGTGGGTGGCTTTCCTATAGACGGAATGTCCCAATGAGCCATCGGGCATCTTCTCGATTAAAACATCTGGTTCAGTGCTGGCTGGCCATGTGGTCAGATGACAAAAGTGTCATCTACGCATCTCTTCCACAGGGAAGGACGTTGGGTGGATGTCAGGATGGCATCTGTTTCAAATTTCTCCATGAAAACATTCGCTACCACTGGTGATAAGGGAGAACCCATAGGGATACCTTCATTTTGTTTGTAGAATGTACCAGTCCAGATGAAGTAAGTAAGGCAGTGCCTCACCAAAGTTGGTACATCAGGATTCAGTCCCTGTGCAGCTCACCTGGCACTGCCGGGTAGCGTCCTTCACGGGCCTCGTACACAGAGTACGAGCTGAACACCGCTAGTACGAGTCATCTGCAAGTTCACTCGGCTGCAAATCCTCCCGTACCGCAAAGGGACAATTTCCTCTCGACCAACTTCATAACAGAGACGAAGATTCCCCCTAATAGCCTTACCAGACTGTAGGGGCACGTGCTGTTAGCGAGCACCTCTGAAGGCAGGCACGGCACGCGAGGGGGTAGGTGGCCAGCACCACGCCCGGCCACCTTTGTCTCCCCAGTGGTGATGTTCACCACACCGCACCAGGTACTCATTTGAGGCCGAGTCGACTGGAGGTAAGGCCCAGGACCGGTTCAGATAATCGTCACCGGCGTTGGCCGTGAGCGGGAATCGAACTCGGTCCGCCGGGTTTTTAGCGCGGCGTGGCGATTACCCCCCCCACATACACACACGGAACGATGATCGAGACCTGCTGCGGGGTGGTCTGGGTGGGAGTTGTTTTTGTCCTGCAGTTTGCGTTTCACAGGGGTGTGGCTGCTGCTGTCTGTTGGGGTTTGCCGTGTAATCAGGCCTCTCTCCGGCATCGGATAGCTGCTCCCCCCACCCCCTCTCATCGTCTTCGTATCTCAAGTGTGTCGGAAATGTTTCAACGCTTGCCTGCCTGCCGAGATAATGCGTGGCGATTTTCTGTAATTACGTGCAATTACTCTATATTTATTTTAACGTTCGTTTTGCAACGAATGTTGAAAAAATTGTCCTGCCAAGTTGGTAATAATTGTGTTTTTATTTGTTTTCCTTGGTAATAAACCGCGGGAAGTGATTTTTGGTGTTGGGAATTCTGAGCACTTGAGCCGGCATTGTGGAATTCCTGGATTTGAGTTCTGCGCTCCCACTTTAATTATTTTTTATTAGTAGTATCATCATCATCCTTCTTGTTTACACACAAAAGCATCGCCGATTCTCCAGACTTGTTCAACAGGGTCCTGACAAGTTTCTGCAGGAGAGAGCTTTGCTGCTCCATGTAATCCCTATTCAGTATTTTTCAGGTACTTTTTCACAATTGGGACGTTTGGCCAACACCAGGTTACATTGTATGGTTTTTATTGTATTTTTCTTTAGCTATGGAAGGAAACTCAAGAACCCCGAGAACACCATACAGAACAGGGGGGGACAGAATACAAACTCCGCTCAGAAATGCATCCGGAGTGCGGGAATTGAACCTTAGAACTTAATGCTCTGTGGTACAAGTGGTACCCCTGCACCACCCTGCACCACCCTGCACCACCCTGTATCTCCCTGCACCACCCTGCACCACGCTGCACCACCCTGCACCACCCTGTATCTCCCTGCACCACCCTGCACCACGCTGCACCACCCTGCATCACCCTGTATCACCCTGCATCACCCTGCACCACCCTGCATCACCATGCATCACCCTGCACCACCCTGCAACACCCTGCACCACCCTGCAATACCCTGCACCACCCTGCAACACCCTGCACCACCCTGCAATACCCTGCACCACCCTGCACCACCCTGCACCACCCTGTAACACCCTGCAATACGCTGCACCACCCTGCAACACCCTGCACCACCCTGCAACACCCTGCACCACCCTGTAACACCCTGCACCACCCTGCAACACCCTGCACCACCCTGCAACACCCTGTACCACCCTGCACCACCCTGCACCACCCTGTAACACCCTGCACCACCCTGCAACACCCTGCACCACCCTGCACCACCCTGCACCACCCTGCATCACCCTGCACCACCCTGCAACACCCTGCACCACCCTGCACCACCCTGCAACACCCTGCACCACCCTGTAACACCCTGCAATACCCTGCAACGTCTTGCAACGCCCTGCATCGCCCTGCAACACCCTGCAATACCCTGCAGCACCCTGCCACTCTGGCAGAGTTGCCTTTCCATGACTTTGCTCGATAGGCTATGGCATTTAATTTTCCGCTGATGATGACTGCAATAGCACGTTCTCATGTTACCACAATCTTGTGAATGTATTATTTAAAATCAGATTCCCATAACTCTGTAATTGTATTGTCAATTTGTATTTTATGTGTGTGCTATGATTTTATGACAAGTCCGAGTAAACATTAAATATTATATCTACGGGAACTTTTTTTGCTTGTATCTATCAAAATGATACCGGCAAAGACGGTGCCATAGATAAAACTGCTCAACCCAAGCTGCCAGTGCTTTGATCCGTGCATTGCCTTTGTGCTGTCCGCCTTGTGGCGTTATTCTCTGGGCCTAACACGGGTGGTGAAACGAGGCCATGAAGTGTCTCTGGTGTCGGCCAATCAGTTTCAAGAACAATGTGTAACATGAGTGTCAAAGCATGTTTCAGCACAAAGTATGTGTGGTTCATGCTGACTTGATGATGCAGTAGGTATCTGTTTTGTGTTTG